TCACCCAGGGATCCTGCACCATTTTGAAAATGTAGGATTGGATTTTGAGTCACCAGTAGCAGGCTGGGATGTCTCGATCCTGCTGCATGTCCACCACAGGGAACAGTATATGCCCAGCTGGGCAGGAGCTGGAGTGGGAGGGGTGAGGAAGGGCAGGGACCCCCAGCTGTGTGCCCTTGGCTGTCATGTCCCCTCTGCCTGAAATGCCCTCCTCTGGTCTTGCCAGTCAAATTTCCATCCATTGTTCAAGACTTATGTGGGTGTCCCCTCCTTTGAGAAGTCACCCTTGCCCTGCACCTGCTCTGCAAGTGGAGCTCCATACCTTCTTCTCCGCTCCACAAACCCTGCGCGGAGCTGCATCCTTGCTTGGATGGTTTAGCAGCCATGAGGAAGAAATGAGCGAGTGAACGAGCAAGACAGCCTTCGCTGGTGTGTGAAACTTTGGGCAGTGAGGAGGAGTAAGCATACGAGACTTTTTCTGACTTTTGCCCTGGAGGGTACTTGAATATTTATAGGGATGTTCTCCTGAAGAAAAGCAAACACACGTCCCCTTAGGAGTTGAGGCAGAGTTCCCTTATTTGTGCATTCGTTCTGTGTCCATCGGCTCGGCTGGGCTGCCAGCGCCATGACAGGACTGTACGAGATGCCCAAAAAAGAAGGAGCCCAATGCACCTGTCCAGCTGGGGAACAGCTACATTGAAGAATATACGGATAGCAGCAGTGGGGTTTGAACTCGAGGCCTCACACTGGCTAGGCAGGCGCTCTACTGCTTAAGCCATACCCTTAACCCTTTTTTGCTTTAGTTATTTCTCAGGTAGGGTCTCACATTTTTTTGCCCCAGACTAGACTTGGACCATGATTCTCCTACCTATGCCTCCCAGTAGCTGGGACCTCAGGCATGTACCACAATGCCCAGTTTGTTGGTTGAAATGAGGTCTTGCTAACATTTTGCTCTGGCTGGTCTCAAACCTTTATCCTCCCAATCTCTGCCTCCCAAGTAGCTGGGATTACAGGCATGAGCCACCATAACTGGTTGATTATAAGAACATGTTGGGAAAACTCTTTAACAAGGGGCATTTGGACCTTCCTGGGTGGAAGGCCCAGCTGGAACCAGGCCTGCCACCCTCCAGGTGGAACATAGTGTTGGGTGGATGTAGAATGAGTCACATATAGGATATCTGAGTGGCTATCCATGGGGGTCTGTGTGCAGTGTGGACCGTTTAGAATTAGACAGTGGAGTGTGCCAGTGAGATACTGGCTAGCTAAGAGCGCCTGAGGATCAGAGCTGGCCATTTTGAGCAATGAAATATCAAGGTAGCTTTGAATTACAACTCAAAGTGTAAAATAAATATTCATGAGCTCCTATTGACATAAATAAATGATTAAACAAGTAAATAATAGAGGGAACAGACAAACTTCCCAGGCAGAGGAATTCCAGATAATTTACGTAACTACTGTACCCTCTGGGAGGAGGGCAGAGATCCTCCACCCACGTGACTTTCTTCCAAAGGGGGCGGGATGAAAGGAGGAGAAAAAGAGCAAATCCACAGTGGTGGATCCTGACCAACACTGCTCTGCCAGCCAGGGCATCATCACCCACACCATGTCCTGGTGGCAGCGTGTGCCTTGATGGGATGGGATAGGACGAGGACCTGTTCCCCTTCTGTAGTCCCCAAAGACCTGTAATAACCCAGGTCTAACCAGGGGAAACACACAGGACAAACTCTACTGAGGGACACCTGCAAAAAGCCTGACCAGTGTCCTCACACTGTCAAGGCCATCAAAACAAGGCAACTCTGAAACTGCCACAGTCAAGACGACCCCAAGGAGACACAATGACTACATGTGACATTGTGTCCTGGACAGGGTCCCGGGACAGAAAAGGGAAACTGGAGACGTGTGAGTGCCATTTGGTATTTGGATAGCACTAAGTGCAGCATTGGTGCCTTAGTTCTAGCCATCGTGTCACAGCAACGTAAGAGCCAGCAGTAGGAGAAACTGGGTGCAGATTTGGAAGCATGCCGTACCTTCTTTGCACCTTTCCTATAAACCTGAAGCCATTCTAAAATAAGAAGTTTAAGTTTAAAAAAAAAAATAGCCAGGTGCCAGTGGTCGTGCCTATAATCTTAGCTACTCAGGAGGCTGAGATTGGGAGAATGAATCATGGTTCGAAACCAGCCCAGAGAAATAATTTGCAAGACCCTACATTGAAAAAACTCATTGCACACACACAAAAGACTAGAGGAGTGGCTCGAGGTTCAAACCCCAGTACCACACACATACACACACACACACACACACAAAATGAATTTCTTCTAACCCCACCACTTAGAGCCTCTGCTGCCTTGCCCCCTTGTTTCTGTGCATTTCCTGCTGGTGATTACACCTGCTCACTCACACGCTGACTACCATTGGCTGATATTTCCTGATTATTCGGTCAGTGTGAAGCGCACAGAAAGCACACTTCCTTATCATTTTGTACCCCCCCCCTTTTTTAAGTGGTACTGGGGTTTGAACTCAGGACCTCACACTTGTTAGGCAGGCACTCCACCACTCGAGCCACTCCACCAGCCCCTTCACCCTGCCTTTTTCCCCAGCACTAAGCTCTTCCATCTTACACACCCTCTATGGGCACTGCTGTGGACCTCAGGTTCCCTAACCACCCCACAGCCTATTCCGGTGTTTGCCCTGCTGTAATCCACACCCAGAAGGGACATCTGGGAGGACAACACATCTTTGCCCCCATTGCAGGGATGGAAGCTGCTGGAGGAATCTGTCTCATGGAACCACATCTGTCTCCTTTGGCCCTCCGTTTGCCAGGGAGGGAGGGTTTTGTGCTGGAGGATACTAATTAATGTCCCTGCGCAGCTCATTAAGTTCTCCCTGGAGAAAAAGGGCAGATCTGATGATCGTCTGCTCCTGTAAAGGCAGCTGCTTTGGCTGCTTATTGACCCACACTCTTGTGCTTTAGAGTCTCCTATTGATATGCCAGGGCTTGGGTCGCCATCACAGGACAGCGTCCACACAGTCCCCCCCAGAAAACTGCTCACCTCGGCTGGGCTGGTCCCACCCTCCTTCCCAGTTCCAGGCACAGGGAAATTGCCCTCCCATCTTGATGTGCCCTGCAAAGTGTGACTAAGAGCTGGGTCTGCAGTTAGACTCAGGTCCTGACCTTGACTCCATCCTGACCAGCCATGTAACCAGGGCAGCTTGCTTCCCCTCTCTGTGCCTCAGTTTCTCCATCTAGGAAGCAGGGATGATAACAGCGTAAGGAGAATTCCCTTGCAGAGCTCTGTGAAGACAGCCTTGTCGAACTCATGATAACCTGGCATTGTGAGGAGGGAGCAGCAAACACGATTTCCCCCATCTCACAACCAAGGAAACTGAGGCGCAGTGCAGAAAATAACTCACCTGCCATCACATGTGGAGTAGGAATCAGGCTATCAAAGCTGAGTGTACACCCCCAGCTCCCTACTCTACCAGTACGCAGTGTCATGCCCTCATTCATTCATTTTTTCACTCATTCAACAAGCATGCAGAGTCCCAGCCTGCACCAGGCACTGGACACCATAGGGAAGAGGACAAGGAGGGAGTGAGCTCCAATTGTGGCCCCTGTCCTAACAGGCTGACAGTCCCAAAGGCAGTGGAATATGGTGGGTGGGTCGCTGTGACCTTGTAGCAGAGCCCCGACTGGTCCCAGGGGTAAGGAATCCGCGCCCCCAACCCACCCACCCCTGACAACATGAGGCTTCCTGTCCTGCACAATGAGAGATAGGAATGAGCCAGGGACATGTCAGAGAGAACCATGCTAGCCAGTGACCACAATGTAAACCAGAGGCAGGGAGGACAGGCCGGTCCTAGAAGGGACAAAGGTGCTACCTGTGGAGGTTGACGGTCTCTCAGGGTTGTAGGGAGAGTGTGTGTGTGTGTGTGTGTAGGAAGGTTATTCTATGGTCTGCATTGGTGAAAGTGAACCCCAGCTTCCTGTGTGAGGAATGGAAGAGGCTGAAGCTGGAGGGTACAGCCTGGGAGGCGTATGCCTCCCAAATGACCTGCTACTGTGGAGCCCAGTGTCCACCCAGCCAGTGGATGTTGTAAAAACGTGAACCAGGTGTGGTGCGCCCATCACAGCCCTATATGTGTCCTGTGGCTGCTGAACCAAGTTCAGCACGGAGGCCTGAGAACAGCACCAACCTGTGCGCTCATAGTGTGGGTCCAAGTCAGGTGTACACATGGTCACATCCTTCCTGAGGTCCAGGGGTGGTCACGGCTCTGCCTTTTCCCACGTCTGGTGTTGCCAACAACCCATGGGTATGAGGAACTTGTAGATCCATCCCCTACTCGCTCCATGTCTCCATGTTTCTGCGTCTCTGTCTCCTCTTCTTATGAGGACGCCATCACTGGACTTAGGGCCACTTAAGTCCAGAATGGTTTCTCCGAGGGCCTTAACTATGACATCAAAGACCCTATTTCCATGTATGATCGCATTTTCAGGTGTGGGGGATGAGGCTGTGGACACACCTTTTCAGGGGACACCGGTCAGTGGTGCACTGTAGTACCCCTCCTCACCTTTGTAGAACTTGATTTTCTGCTATGTCCTCTCTTACTGTCTCCATCAGTCCTTCAGATGTGCCCCTGAGTCCCTGGGTCATCGTGCACTGGAGCAGCCACTTTCACAGGCAGCCTCCTCTGCTCCTGTACCCCCTCCCCACCTGCCTCAGCTCCATCCAGACAGATTCTCATTTGTGGCAGAGACCTTGAACTCAGATTCACAGTGGAGACTCAGCAGCTGCAATAGTGCTGGCATCAGAGTCTCACCCCATCATCCCATGAATGAATGAGTGAGTAGAAGGATGGATGGATGAATGGATGGGTGGATGGATGGATGGGTGGATGTGGGTGGTTTACACTGAGTGGCGGGGTGGGGTAGACCTGAGGTTCCTACCACTGTGCCTCCCTAGGGTCCATGGTGGAGGCCTCATGCCTGCTTTCTGTTTCAGATCATCTTGGTGAGCTCTTCGCTCAGTGACCGGGAGCAGAGCCTCTTTCTCAGCATGGACGAGGGTGCCAGCTTCCAGAAGCAGCCTGTCCCCTTTCTTGTGGAGACCCTCATCTTTCACCCCAAGGAGGAGGACAAGGTCCTTGCCTACACCAAGGAGAGCAAGGTAAGAGGGCACAGGCCAGGTGCCAGGTCTAGGGGGCCAAAGTGTCTGTCCAAGCCCTACTGGGCAAGCGTCCAATTAGAAGGACATCAGGACAGAGATAGCCTTCTCCACCAGAGGCTCAGAGCCCTTCCGTTGAACAGGGGGCCTCACTGGGCAGGGAGGCACAAACCCCGCTGTTGTCCTGCTTGGAGCCAGAATGTTGTCCTGTGTTACATCAAGAGTGACACTGCATGGCAGCGATACATGAAGCCAGTGAGATGGGGTCAGGTAACTATAGGATGCCTGCCTTCTCCCTCTCCTCTCTGCATACCAGCTGTAAGCACCTTCCTCCACTTCCAGAACATTCCCCACACCCTCCATGCCAGCCCTCACCAGGCCTTTGCCCCACCTGGATGTTCTTCCCCCTTCACCAGAAAGAGTAAATGGTTCTTTAGTCCCAGCACCTCCCAAGGAACTGTGTCTCATGGGAACCAAGGTTGAGGAGTTGGTGAGGTATCCAGGGACCAACACAGAGAAGGGGAACGCCTGCTGGCATCTGGGAGCTGGTCCACCCCCAGTCCTGAGGGCTATGTGGGAAGGCACAGGCTGGGAAAGGCTGGGGGAGGCGCTGAACCACAGCTGGAGGACAGAGCTTCCGCTGGCTTCCTACAGCCACTGTGGGAAGTGCCCACAGACAGGGGGCTTAAGGTGACAGAGATAGGTTCTCCTACAGTCTTGGAGACAAAAGTGCAGTCAGCATCCCTGACTGCAAGTGAAGGTGTATGCAGGGCTATGCTACCTCTGCAGTCCCCAGGGAAGTTGATTCTGTACTTCCCAGGTCCTGGAAGCTGCCGTGCCTCTTGGCTTATGGCTGCATCTGTCCATGTTCCAGGGCAGCAGCTTCAAATCTCGGCTCCATCTTCACAAGGTACACTGTCTGTGCATGGGTGTACGTGTGTGTGCGCGGGTATCCAGAGATGTGTTGTGTGAGCTCTCCCAGCCCCTCTCTTTTGTAAGGACACATGTGATTGTATTTGGGACCACCCAGATCATCTGAGATCATCCTACATCTTAACAGTCACTTCTGCAAAGTCCCTTTAAGCCCCACTGGGTTCAGAGGACCAGGACGTGACCATCTTTTGAGAGTACCATTTTTAGCCTCTCACCATGCCCAGTCACAGGCATGGGGAAGGTCCCAGGAGGAGGCCTGGCCCCGGTGACAGTAATGCAGTCCCTGTCAAACTGGTTGGAAAGTGCAGGAGTGGAAGGAAGACACCTGCCCCTTCCTGCTTCCAGGCTTCTGCTCCTGCCTCCATGGCTGTATCCAACCAGAGGCTGTGTCAGAGGGTAGGAGCTGGGGTGCTGTTTACATGGCACCAGGGAGGGCTGAAAAGGGCCACCGTGGGTCTGGATGGCAGATGGAAGCTGCCAGATCAGCAGTCTTCCCTAGCTGCCGCTGCCCAGGCCAGCCTGGGACCCCCCCACCCCCACTGTTCTAGGCCCTGTGCCTTTCTCAGCACCATGTGTGGTTGTGTTTATGCTGCTATTTGAGCCTTGTCTACACTCCACACATGCCTGGGCTGAGCCCTTGAGGGCAGGGGCAGTGTCTGATGTTTTTACCATTTTAATCTCAAGCACCTGGCTGAAAAGACATGCTGGCTGGCTGACTGGCTGACTGGCTGGGTGGGGGTGGATGGATGGATGGATGGATGGATGGGTGGGTGGATGGGTGGTGGGTAGATGGATGGATGGATTGACAGATGGACAAATGGATGGATAGATAGATGGACAAATGGATGGATGGATGGATGGATGCACTCATGGGTGGGGGTAGATGGGTAAATGGATAGATGGATGGATGTGTAGGTGGGTGAGGACATGGATGGATGGATGGATGGATGGTTGGATGGATGGATGGATGGATGGATGGATTGACGGATGGACAAATGGATGAATAGATGGGTAGATGAATGGATGAATGGGTGGACGTATTCATGGGTGGGGGTAGATGGGTCAATGGATAGATGGATGGATGTGTAGGTGGGTGAGGACATGGATGGATGGATGGATTGACGGATGGACAAATGGATGAATAGATGGGTAGACAAATGGATGAATGGGTGGATATATTCATGGGTGGGGGTAGATGGGTCAATGGATAGATGGATGTATGTGTAGGTGGGTGAGGACATGGTTGGATGGATGGATGGATGGATGGGTGGATGGATGGTTGGATGGATAGATGGATGGATGGCTGGATTGACAGATGGATGGACAAATGGATGGATAGATGGATAGATGAATGGATGGATGAGTGGATGTATTCATGGGTGGGGGGGATGGGTAAATGGATAGATGGATGGATGCGTAGGTGGGTGAGGACATGGATGGATGGATGGATGAACGGATTGACAGATGGACAAATGGATGAATAGATGGGTAGACAAATGGATGAATGGGTAGATGTATTCATGGGTGGGGGGGATGGGTAAATGGATAGATGGATGTATGTGTAGGTGGGTGAGGACATGGATGGATGGATGCATGGGTTGAAGGTGAATGGATAAATGGATGAATGGATGGTGGTTGGTAGCTAATAAATAGATGGGTGGATGGATGACAGATTTCTACCAACAGGGATCAGCCAGGTCAGAGACCTCCAGCGGAGACTCCTGGTGGAGGAGCCCTGGCTCCCTGACAAGGTCTGGCCCCTTGCTGTCTGGCATCCTGTGTGTCCCTGGGCTTGTGGCTGCCTCTCTTCTCCCAGCACCTTCTCAGGGACAGCATGTGACCCTGGGTATTAGTGGTACAACTTAGCCTTCCATGTAATTAGACCATAGCACAGTCACAGAGGCTTATTTTACTGCCGAAGTTGGCTACATTGCAATTGCTCTTTAATTTATGGTGCCCTGAGAAATTAATGGAGCTGAAATCTTGGCTGTTTTCCTGGCTTCTTTTCTGTGACTATAAGGAAAGAAAAAGGGGAGAAAAAGGGCTTAGTTGAGGTTGTAAAAAGTGAGAGATTGGGGGAATTAATAACAATGGCAGAAGGGCTTAGTTTCAGGGTACTACGGTTTTCCAAAATGCCAGCTCTGGGCTCCAACAAGTCTGGTGTCTTAAGCAGGTGTCTGTGTCGAGGTGCTGAGTAACTCACAGCCCCCACACCTGTGGCCCAGAGCAACATGCACTGGGTATCAGCCCCGGAGTCTGCGGAGAAGCCAGGGCTCTGCTATGTTTTGCTGGGATCGGCTGGACGTGTCTTCTGCCTGCTGGGGTTCAGGCCCCCACACAACTCTCCTTCTGGGGGTTTGCTGTTCTCATAACAGGGGCAGAGCAAAACACACAGTAGTTTTAGCACGGTGACTTTGACCTCTGCTCATACACCATTGACCAAAGTGAGTCACACACTGAACCCGGAGTCACAGGGTGGGCATGAGTTACCATGTACAGAAGATGTGCTGTGTCACACAAACCAAACCTCACTCCACCTCCTCTGGGTCCTGGCCCTCGCTCTGGCATGGTCCCCGTCACCTTCAGGCTGCCCCCACCCTACGTCCCTCCCTTGCTGTGTCATAATTTGGGATATTCTGAGGCACCTTAGCCTGATAGCCCAATGTGCACTCCTTCCAAGGCTCAGCAAACTTGCCCAGATCCTGGGATCAGTAGGGCAGGAGGCCTTGAAGGTCCTTCCCACCTAGCTGCCTGGGACGACTGGCTCAGGGCCAACCAGCCTGTTTTCCCTGTGTGTGGGCCCTGGACCTGCTTGCTGGCAGAGCTGTGGGCACTCACTGCTAAGATGCAGTTAGAGTCACTTTTATATTTTATTTTGTTTTACTTTACTCCCATAAAGAACTTCTGCTTCCTAGCCCAGTGAGACATTGATCAGAGCCCAGGACTACTTTCCTGACACTTGAGGGAGCAAACATAGCTTTGAGAGAGGAATCAGGAAAGACTTTCTGGTGGAGGTGTGTTTGAAGAGGGATCTAAAGAAGAGATCATAATGGATGTTACTTTCTGATATACCTGCAGAGCAATCATGATGACCATACAGGGAAAGAAAGGAAAGCAAGCTCTGTGGCTCTGCAGCCACAGAGTCCCACCATGCTGTCAGGGGCAGGGGTGCGGGATGTAGGAAAGGGAATTGGTCCTTGGAATTTAGGGGGAGGGCTGAATTTCAGCAGGCATCTGAGGGGCCAGCAGGGCTCGGCACCATGCTTTTGGCTCTCTGCCCTCGGCCCTCAGATGCAAGAAGAGACGAGACTTCTTCTGAGTAATAGAACAATTCTAACTGAACGATTTTGTGGGCAGTGGGATCTTGTACCTCAGCATGTGCTTATTTTCACTCTACCCATTTGCATCTGCTGGGGCTGGGACAGAAATGTTCTATTTTCCTGGCAATTAGTGGCAGATAGTAAAGTCACCTCCCGTGAGACCTAATTGGAATGGCTCTATAAAGATTGGGGACAGGCACCATAAATATGAGTGCATTGCTGGTGACAACACGATAATGCCACCCATTAATGCAGGGGTTTTATCACCAGGGTCCCAGGAAGTGACGCCTGCCGCCTCCTGTTTCATTTGCTGATTGCCTGCAGGTGTGACTAGCACTCTCCCTATTTGCAGATGGATAAACTGAGACTAAAGGGGGAAAGGGTCCAGTCTGAGTCACTTAGATGATCCATAGAGAGGGTTCAAGGTGACCAGTCATCCTTCCTATAGAAACCCTTAGCCTGAACTTAGTGCAATTCTATGAACTCGGGTGTATGAGGTAAGAATTGCTGCTGTAAGTGAACGCTGTGTGACCTGGAGCAGCTTATCTGCCTCTCTGAGCCTCAGTGCTCTAACGTGAAACAGCAAAATTGCTCATTTTATGGTGTTTGTGTGTGTGCACATGCATGTGTGCATATGTGTGTGTGTGTAAAGTGAGGCCACATTTGACATGCATAGCTCAGTGACTGACCCCAATAAAACACCACACCTGCTGCCAGGCGCTCCCATGGAGGCCCAAACGCTGCGCCACAGATATCTCCCGAGCACCCGTGTCATGCCAGACCCTGTTCCACGTGCTCGACAAGGCTCAGGAGCTCCGGCCCTCAGCTAGCATACGTCCTGGATAAAACTTTATTGAAAACTCCCTTGGGTACATTTCCGTTAGCATGTGTTAGTTGCACGGGAGGCTTCACTGTGGGACATTTGCATCTGTGCTTTCACTGTATCTTAATGAGACTCCATCATTCTCCCTCCTCCCCGACCCCTTTCTTAGGACAGTTTCAACAGGTTTCATACACGTATGCAAAGGACATCCTCCTTCACGTTCTCCTTTCACCCTCCCCACTCCCACTGACACCCCCGACGGGACCTGCTCTACCTTCCTGTCCTCCATTATTACATTATTTATTTACTCATTGCAGTACTAGGTTTTGAACTCAGGGCCTTCACCTAGAGCCACCCCACCAGCCCATTTTTTTGGGTATGTTCAACATAGGGTCTCATGAGCTATTTGCCCTGGCTGGCTTCAGACCGCAATCCTCCTGATCTCTGCTTCCTGAGTAGCTGGGATTACAGACATGAGCCACTGGTGCCCAGCTCTGTCCTTCATTTTTTTAAGTGTATATTGATTGCTCAAGGGGGCTTTGCCTTAGTATTTCGCACACGTACGTATTGTGCTTTCATCAGATTAACCCTGTCTATTATTCTCTCTCCTCTCTCTCTCTCTCTCTCTCTCCCTCTCTCCCTCCCCCTGCTCCCCTAGCATTCAACAACTTCCAGTACATTTCGTTATACAATCCCTTTTAAATATTAAATGTTCATGTACCCCTGAGTAGGTGTCAACACACAATGGCCAGCCACTTGTGTTTCTAAATAAAGTTTACGGTCACACCTGCTTAGGCTTGGTCACAGCAGAGAGGAGTGCTTCCTACAGAGAGCCCGGCCTGCAGAGGGACATACTTACCCTCCAGCCCTTTACAGAGTAGCTCTTGTCCTGGAGTCAAACGTGTCCATTCATTCAGAAGACTCACTTCAGCACCTGGAGGGGGGCGGAGCTCTGCACTGGTGCAGAAGGGTAGGCAGGGCAGAGGGGGGCGGGCAGGGCAGCCAGCCACAGCGCACAGGGAAGTGGGAATTAAAACTCCCCCGTGTGGAAGAAAGTGAACCCATGCTGCGTATTCAGAGGGATTTACCTCTTCCACCACACAGCCTGGACAGGTGACCAGGGACTGCAAGGTGGGTCTGGGGCTGGGAGGACTGCAGAGGTGAGGTAAGGGAAAGGTGGCCATCTGTGGTGGGGACTTTGTCCACTCAAGTCTATGTGTCAGGACCTCCACATGTAACTGTATGTGGACACAGGGCCTTTAAAGAGGTGATGGGATGGATTATTTGATGAGTCTTATGTGACAGAGAAGGGAAACCAAGGCTACAGAGCCAGATCTGTGGGTGCCCGTGCTTTGGTGAAGAGGGAGCTCATGCAGAAATGTGACAGAAGGACAGGGGTGAAGGGTCCTGCACTGCGAGGGCCTGGCCAGTCTGTCGATTCGGATTCTTCCTGGTGTCCCCGTGACATCCTCCCCTCAGTGGATGAGGCAGAATACCCTCCACAGGATGGCCTTCAAGGCAGAAGGTGGGGAGCAGGTCAGAAAGTGCCTGGATTTTATTACCTGCTTCTGGGAAGAGGGCAAGGGAAGGGAAAGGGGTCCCTGCTTCTGCTGTCCTGCAGTTTCCACGGTGCTGTATTTGGGATATTGCTCCCTGCACCCCACCACCAGCTTTCTACTTGGACACATGGAGTGATCAAGTCCCCCAGATGGTGGGGATTGGGTTGGCACAGAAGGTTCTAGACATAGGCATTGTCCCTGCCTGCCCACCCTGCCATCGAAGACCCCACTTTCTTCCTGCCCTGAGGTCAGGTCCCTCAGGACTGTCTCACCAGCAAAGGAAGGTGAGGCTCCAATCCTGCAGGGTCCTGTGACCCTGGCAACTTCCACGTGGTATCCATTAGAATCTGCCTGCCTGAGCCCTGGGCACAAACCTGAGACCAGCTATCCTCACCTCCTCTCCTAGGGCTTGGGTCCTGGGCCCAAGGACCGTCACACCCTCTGGTCCCTGTTCCCTCCTTTCAGGGCCAGTCCAGCTCCCTAAGCTGGGCTCTTTCTGCCTTTTCTTCCTGTCCACTCCACTGCTGCCCAGTGCTCCAGGCTGCCTCCTTGGAGATCTGTCTTGCCCCTGAGGTGGGGTAAGGTGAGGTGGGGGGAGGGGATACCTGCAACACCATCTGATCAAGGCCCCTGAGCTCATTTCTTGAGCTTTGGCTGGGTTCAGTCAGGGAGGTTGCATGCTACACGGGATCAACTGCACATCAGAGAATGTTTTAAAGCCAGGACAAGCCTTTTCCATTTCTCCTTCCAGCTCTCGTCTATCACGGTGGCTTTCGTGAGTCCTGGTGCTCAGGGATCCTTGCAGAGTAAAGCATGAACCCTTGCAGTCTTGACCTGCCTCAGGACAGGGTGCTCAGGGCTCCCACCCTGTGCTGGCCCAGGCCCCTTCCGGGGTAGTAGGCACTAGGAAGGGACAGGAGTGAGGGCAGCCAACTTTCTGCCCATGGCATGGCAGGAGGCAAATCCCTCACATCAACCAAGGCTCCAAGCCCAGCAAGCCCTCTGTTCCATCATCAGCCGGCAACCACATAGCTCAGACTCAAAGTCAAGATTGAAAAGTTCAAGTCCACAGCTGCAGAGACTTGCACCCCACACAAGCCTGTGCAGAGCCCTGTGGTGGGTCCCCCATTCCCAGCTCTGAACTCCTTTCACTCCTTCACCCCTCTGTGTGTGCCACCACTTCCTTCCAGATGCCCTCTCTCCCCTTCCTCCACCCTCACTGTAAATCCCTTCTTTGGCAGCAGGGCTCAGGTATACTTCCTCTGGGAGGCCTCCAGGATTTCACTTGGACAGCCTTATCACCTGGGTCCTGCTGACTGAGCTGAATGGGAAAGGCTGTGTGCAGAGCTCTCTCTCCAATTTCAGTTCTTGGCGGGTGGTCTGCTCCCCCAGTGCGCACAGATCTACTGTGTATATGCAGGACCAGCGGGTGTCTCCTGGGGAATCCACTGCAGCAGGCTAACCATCACTTGGAAGTGGCTGGCTCCTGAGGTCATGACCAAACTTTGTTTCTCTCTTTTTTCTGCCATACAGCTCTATGTGACATCCGACCTGGGGAAGAAATGGGTGCTTCTGCAGGAGCAAGTGACCAAAGACCACGTCTTCTGGTAAGAGCCTTTCCCATTGGGGCCTTAGGCCTCCTTCTCCTGCGTGTCCCCATCCTGCACCTCCTCACCCCAGGGCACCTCCAGAGTCCTCTGTTAGCTCAGGAAGGCAGAATTGGAACCACTAGGAGCCCAGGGCTCAGCATTCCTCAGGCCTGTTTTACTTGTGACCTGCTGTGTAGCTTTGCACACCTGAAACTCCCTCTGAGCCTCAGTTTCCTCCTAGTGGACGGTGGTGTGATGTGCTGGGTGGGGGAGGGGGAGGCTGGCACAGTACCAGCACATGGTGGGCCCACTTCTTGCTTCCCTACTCCTGATCCCAGTCCTCACTCAGCCCCTAACTGCCCCCTTGGGAGTTGCCCCAGGACTGTGGGCTCCTGTCACAAGGCCCAGGGACTCACCTGCCTGATCCTCTCTTGAGGCAAAGACATGGGTCCGTGTAAGATATGACCCAACATGCCCACCCCCGCCCACCAAGGAGCTGAGCAGGGGAAAGGAGGCTGGTGAATGCAGGCTAGGTGGAGCTAACATCCCAGCAAAGGGTGCGCTCAGAGACCACGTTCAGACTGGGGGTGCCAGCTCCTCACTTGCATTACCTCGTGGGGATCCCCTCAGTGTTCTGGTCCTCTGCCCCAGGGAGGCAGCTCTGGCTCTGAGGAATGTTCACTGGATGCTTGAGTGAGGCCCGTGGAGGACAGGCACTTGCCTGAGTTCCTGGGCAGCAGAAGGGGAGTGGGAAGCCAAGGCAGCTGGTTCGGGGCCCACACTACTGCGGCTGTGGCCAGCATCTCTTCTTCTGACTCAGGTCCCTTTGGAGACCAGCAGTGAACCACAGGTTCAGTTCTCCCCGCCGCGCCACTCTTTCTTGTGCTTGCATGCACACGTTCTTTCATACCCCTCCCCTTTCTAAACTCTGCCCTGGCCCCCAGTCAGGCCACGGTCCCATCTCCAGCCAGGATGCCAGGAAACAGCCCCTTCCCCTCTCCTTGCCTCACTGCAAAGTCCAGGCTACTCCTGGAGAGGGCTGTTTTCCTGGCCTATCCTGGGGACTGAAGGTCTCCATCGTCCTCCAAAAACTGGCTCCTGTTGCTCTTGCCCTCTGCTCCGGGGGAGAAGTGAGGGCAGTTTCTCCATGGCTTCCTGTGGGCTGGTTAGTTCCTTCCCCAGAACCCAGAGGGTTGCCAACCATCATTGGCTCCTTACTGATACTAACTGTTAGGGACTGCCAACTGTTGGTCAACTGCTGGTGAGGGACCTCTGAGAGCTTCCAGCAGGTAGGGAGAGGTTGGGAAGTGGGATTACTGACCCATGTCAGCCTGGGGACCTGGTGGAACCTCTCCAGCACTGAGGCCAGGCCGAGGGGCGTCCCAGACTGACCTGGCTCACAGACACCTCTCTGACCCAAGAGAGAAGCCAGCCCACAGACACTGAAAGAGAAATTGGCAGTAATTCAAACATGCTATTATCTCAGGCAAATCAAATAGTTTCTTCCAAGTTTCTCAAATCCCTCGGCGTTGTTATGCATGAGGAATAATCACAGTTCATGCTTGGCCGCTCAGGGCCCACATAGGATCCCTCCTGGAATGTGGTGACAGCCTAGTGATGGGGGTCCCCCTGTTGCAAGTGGTGAATAATGCTGTTTTGACAGCATTTTCAAGGAGCTCTTTGTCCTTGAACTGACAGCTGGAATTGCCAAGGCCCATGTTTCGTCTTAAGCACCGACTCACCGGTGTCTGTGTAGGTGCAGGCAGCCCAGCTCAGTAGCATGGCCTTGCGGGCAGGCGGGAGGCAGCAGCAGGCGCTCAGATACCTGCTGTGTTCCAGCCCCATGGCCTCCTCTCAGCCTCTCAGCAGACCTGCAGTGAAATCATAATAGCTTGGCCAGCCACTGCCCATTTTAGTTACTGATGGCTCCTGTCCGCCAGCCTAGGATTTCCGCAGCAACCCCACCCTCTTCCCCTCACATTACAGAGGGAAGTGAGGCTCAGGGAGGCCAGTGCACTTGTCCTAGGTCACACTGTCCCTAAGCAGCAGCCCTGAGCGGTGGTCTACTTCTGACTAGTGGCTGTGGTGTTGCCATTCTGCTGGGAGGTCTGACCACTGCCCTCACCAAGTATGTCTGTCTGGAGCTCCACTTGTCCCCGGCTTGCCCAGGGACAGTCTCCACCTTCCTCTTCCTGCCCCGGGTTGGGCCTCTGTCAGTAGAAAAAGGAAGTGACAGCAGAGAGGAGGTGGTCCCACCCGGTCTTGACTAGGACGTCTTTGAGGATTCTTAGAACTGTACACACCAGAACTCCCTGCACTGGCAGGAGTGAAAATCAACCCTACCTCCCAGAGATGTCACTGTCTCCGAGGGCTGCTCTCCCTTGGTCATCTCCCGTTACTACTATTCTAAACATAACACCTGCCTAAAGAGCAATTTTTGGGAACTTCAGCCAACAAAGAGGCACATGAATCCACACTAGACTCCTGCAAGGAGCTGGGCTCCATTTGAGATGCTATACACACGGGGTTTCCAAAGCCCACGGTCAAGGGTCTCTGGGCCCCTAGAACTTCCTGTGCCTAGTCCAGGGTCTTCACCAGCATGCCAGGACATGGCCATGGGAGAGTGGCCCCAGGAAGAGACTGAGGGAACAAGACTGGTGATGAGTGGATTTGATGAGCGAGTGAGTGAGTGATGATGGAGTAAAATGAGGCAGGAGGGCGGGAGGGAATACGTGAGAGCTGGACTGAATGAGCGAGTGAATGAGTGCACGAGCAAGTGAGCAAGGATGGTGGTAGGAGGCTAGGATCCTCATGCCTGCTGAGGACCTTGGGTACTGGGAACAGTGCCTGCCTCTATTCAGCAGACAGAAATGTCCAGCAGGAGACCGCCCATCCAGGGAGCTCAAGAAGGGCATGTTCACCAAAGCCAGAGCCGCTGTGCACCCTGCAGTGGAGCTCTGACCCGGGGCCAGCCCGGTGGTGCTGGTGCCCCTGGGTTTGGGCATCTCACAGCTGCCACTATGCACTTCCCCTGCATCTCAGCCCCAGACCGACTCCCCTGTCCACCTGGCTCCACTGGGAATGCCTGGCCCCTGGAGGAGGGGATTCATGGGTGTGGGAGTTGGGCACGTTGAGAGGCAGGTGGAGGACTGAAGGGGCCGACTGTGTACAGGCTGCAGTGATGGGGCGTTAAGATAGCACTCTGCAGGGAAGCCCAGTGGCCTGTGAGCAACTGCGGGGGAGCAAGCTGTGGGAAGGCAGTGCTCCTGTCCTGAGACTGAGGGACAGTGGCAAGCAAGTGTCCCCCTTGGCTTGAGATTCAGCTTACTCTTGGGCAAAGTGTCCTGAGAGGGGTGGATCCAGCAGGTGGGTGACATATTCATGGTTGCGTTGGCTGGAATGCAGAGGGCAGCAAATATGACTAGCAAATATGACAGCTCACACTTCCAGTCCGTCCTGCCTCGCAGGGAGACGTTTACTGAGCAAAGAGAAAGACAGGTAGGCAGCAGTCCAGATGGCACATGGGTCCCAGTGTCCCTGGGAGGCAGAACTTGAGCTGGAAAACCCTGAACACTCCATCAGTGCGGCTTTGTTCATTCTAACTCTGTGTGCTCCCCTCCTCTGTCAGGTCCCCGCTGGGTGGGCACTGGGGTACAGCTGAAGCTGGACCTCATCTCTGCCTTCCCTAGAGGACCAGCCCATGGAGCTGTACCCTGTTCTCCTTGGGCCTCTCACAAGTGCTTCACCAGCAGTGCAGGTCCACATGGAGCCTCACAGAAGCACAGAAGGCAGGTGCCATGGCACCTTCTTAAGACTGGAGCCAGAGGCTTAGAGAGGTGACGTGGCAGCTCCAGCTTCCATAGTAAGGGGATGACAGAGCTAAAAAGGGAACTTGGCCTTCTAAGCCCAGCTTGGCACCTGTATCAAGTCAGGCTCCTCCTCCTCCAGCCCACATTGCACATACTTTGAGGCTGGACACCCAGCCGTTTCTTTTTTTCATTTTTCTTTTATTATTCATATGTGCATACAAGGCTTGGGTCATTCTCCCCCCTGCCCCCACCCCCTCCCTTACCACCCACTCCGCCCCCTCCCTCTCCCCCCACCCCCTCAATACCCAGCAGAAACTATTTTGCCCTTATTTCTAATTTTGTTGTAGAGAGAGTATAAGCAATAATAGGAAGGAACAAGGGTTTTTGCTGGTTGAGATAAGGATAGTTATACAGGGAGTTGACTCACATTAATTTCCTGTGCGTGTGTGTTAACTTCTAGGTTAATTCTTTTTGATCTAACCTTTTCTCTAGTTCCTGGTCCCCTTTTCCTATTGGCCTCAGTTGCTTTTAAGGTATCTGCTTTAGTTTCTCTGCGTTAAGGGCAACAAATGCTAGCTAATTTTTTAGGTGTCTCACCTATCCTCACCCCTCCCTTGTGTGCTCTCGCTTTTATCATGTGCTCAAAGTCCAATCCCATTGTTGTGTTTGCCCTTGATCTAATGTCTGCATATGAGGGAGAACATACGATTTTTGGTCTTTTGGACCAGGCTAACCTCACTCAGAATGATGTTCTCCAATTCCATCCATTTACCTGCGAATGATAACATTTCGTTCTTCTTCATGGCTGCATAAAATTCCATTGTGTATAGATACCACATTTTCTTAATCCATTCGTCAGTGCTGGGGCATCTTGGCTGTCTCCATAACTTGGCTATTGTGAATAGTGCCGCAATAAACATGGGTGTGCAGGTGCCTCTGGAGTAACCTGTGTCACAGTCTTTTGGGTATATCCCCAAGAGCACCCAGCCGTTTCGTCCCTGCATGTCATGTGCCAACAAGGCTGTGGGAGTCAGAAGACTGACGTATGGAAGCACTTTGTGAACTGCAGGACATGGCACTGGGGTGCCTGTGGTGAGTACCCTCCTTGGCTTCCCAGTGTGATCCTGAGGAATCTTGCCCAGTGACTTCCAAACACTTAGCCTCAAGTGCGCAGGGACAAGTGAGGGAGGTCGGTCCTCCAAGCAGCAAGAGAACACAGGTCTGGCAACAACCCAGACCCCTCAGAGGGATAGAGGCTTGAAGAACCACTTTGAGCTCCCTGGCAGAGGGCCCACGCTGTGTCCTAGGATCACAGCTACCCTGCCTCAGTGAGCCCAGCCAGAGCAGGGCATAAATGCAACCTACACTGGTTGTCAGGGTGTGTAGTAGGCAGCCTGATGGAATGTTGCTATCCCCCCAGTCTGTTCCCCAGGACTCCTCACCTGCCACTCACCTGCCATCACTCAGGTAGATGAATGAGTGAATGAGTGAGGGAGTGAGTTAGTAAGTGAATGGGTGAGTGGGAGGATGGATGGATGGATGGATAGATGGGTAGATGGGTGGGTGGGGGGGTGAATGGATGAATGGGCAGTGGATGAATGGGTAGGTGGATAGATGGATGGATGGGTGGGTGGATGGGTGGGTGGGTGGATGGGTGGGTGGGTGGATGGGTGGGTGGGTGGATGGGTGGGTGGGTGGATGGATGGATGGATGGGTAGATGGTGGGTGGGTGATGGTTGGTAGGTGGATGGGTGGGGGGTGGATGGGTGGGGGGTGGGTGATGAATGGGTAGATGGGTGGATAGATGAATGGGCAGTAGATGAATGGGTAGGTGGGTGGATGGGTGGATGGGTGGATGGGTGGATGAATGGATGGATGGATGAATGGATGGATGGATGGATGGATGGGTGGATGGGTGGATGGATGGATGGATGGATGGATGGATGGATGGATGGATGGATGGGTGGATGGATGGATGGATGGATAGGTAGATGGGTAGATGGGTGGGTGGATGGATGGATGGGTGGGTGGATGGGTGGGTGGGTGGATGGGTGGGGGGGTGGATGGGTTGGTGGGTGGGTGGATGAATGGGTAGATGGGTGGATAGATGAATGGGCAGTAGATGAATGGGTAGGTGGGTGGATGGGTGGGTGGGTGGATGGGTGGATGAATGGATGAATGGATGAATGGATGGATGGATGGATGGATGGATGGGTGGATGGGTGGATGGATGGATAGATGGATGGATGGATAGATGGATGGATGGATGGATGGATGGGTGGATGGATGGATAGATGGATGGGTGGATGGGTGGATGGATGGATGGATGGATAGGTAGATGGGTAGATGGGTGGGTGGATGGATGGGTGGGTGGGTAGATGGATGAATAGGTGGATGAAACTCTAAGCCTGGATGGATAAATGAATGAATGAATCCTCTAATTTCCTGTGGAATACAGACAAATGTCCTCAACTTTCTTGTCTCAGCCTTTTTATCTCTAAAATGGAAACAAAATATTCCATCTCACAGTTCTGTGATGAAAATGAGGTGGTCATTATGAAGTAAGCTTCATAAGCACATAGTAGGGCTTCAGAGAATGACCCTTTCCCCTCCCTTCTTTTCTTTCCTAGCTCTATTTGTTCACATGAAAACACTTAACAAATATCTATTGTGTCTCACACATGTGTTCCCTATACTCAGAGACTGTAGCCTCCCAAAGAACTGGCTTCCACCCATGCATGAGGGAAGATTCACTGTCATGCTGCAGGATGGGAAACTGTCCTCTCATCCCTGCTGTGTCCTTGCCTCTGTGTGTGTGTTTGGGTGGGGATACTAATGTTCAGTGACAGACTCTGCTTCTAGAGTTCTAACATGACCAGCTGGTGTGGCTTTTTGCCAACCTATGTCCTGTGTCTTTGGAAAAATGTCTGAAGATCTTTAGAATTTCTAGAGTATAACTGTTAGGGAACCTGCCAAGTGCACCTCTGTATTTCTAGCCCTGACCCAGTACTGGCTCACAGTAAGTGCTCAGTAGATGGATGGGTGCATGAGTTCATGACTGTGTGAATGGGTGAGTGAGTGTGTAACTGGATGGGAAGATGGATGGATACAAAAGTGGTGGAATGCATAAATGGGTGGGTAGATGGATGGACAGATTGGGTGGATAGATGGATGAATGGATGGATGGATGGATGGATGGGTGGATAGACGGAGGAGTGGGTGGATGGTTACATAGACGTATAGATGGATGATGGATGCCTGGATAGACAGATGGCCCATAGGTGGTTGTGTTATAGATGACTCCTTCTTAGCCTGTACTCTCCTGTGACTTACTCATCTCTGGATCAGTAACTCCTGCCAAACAGACAGGATTTTTATCAAGCACACACAGTAGGTTGACAGGGACATGGCCTAGGGAAGGTGGCTTTCAGTACAGTGAGGTGTGCTGCAGTGGTGGCCAGAAATGCTGACAGAGTGGTGACTGGGTGGGTGAGGGTTTCAGGTGTGTTGGCCCGAGAATCAACCCTTGTCCTGTTGTCACCACCTCTGAGCACTGAGGGGAGGAGAGGTGCCTTGAATCCAAGGCAGCCTTGATGCCAGCAGAATTATGGCAACAGCCAGATGAGTGTCCAAGAGGGCAAGAGAAGGTTCCTACTTCTATGTACTCTGAGGAAGGGAGCAGCCTGCGAGAGCATAGGGCACAGTTGGGACACAGGAAGGAAGGGCAGGGGCTGAGACCCTGGAGGGGAGGCTGAGCAGCTGAGACAGTCCTCCCTGTCCCTTGCTGCTTTACTGCGTTATGTTCACGCACCATGCTCTGCACAGCTAGAGAAGCAGCTATGTACTGAAAAGCAGTTGGTCTGGGAAGGGCAGGCCCTGGATTGTAGATCTTTGGCCTATTAGCCCTGTGATCCTGGATAGGTGTTTTCACCTCCCTGAGCCTCAGTTCCCTCATCTGTAAAATGGGCATCAACTAAACTGTCTGTGGTTACTGTGCACTGAGTGACACATTCTAGGTCAACTAGAGACCTAGGATGGTCCTAGAGAACCTGCTGCTGTGTGTAGCTATCACGTGGGTCCAGTGACAGGTCTAGTCCTTGCGTGCCCTTCTCTGTCCCATCTCTCTTTATCTCCATCTCTCTCTTCTCTCTCATTAATGAGAAGTGAGTCTGGGAGGGCGGAATAGGGGGGACCCAGCCTGAGTGTCCTGATCTGGGAGCCCCACTCCATGGTGTCTTATTTATCTCTGTCCCAAGGGCCTGGGCTGGGCCTAGCATGGGCCTGGCACAGCATTATCTCCTAGAAAGGCCTGTGGAACTTCTCAAGGTGGCAAAAGGACCATTCACCCCTTTTTCCATTGCTGTTCTCTAAAACTAGGCCCCCCTGTGTGAGCACAGCCCCAAAGACATGGCTTCTAGATAGTAGCCTAGGACGAGGACTTGGTCGTGAGCAGGGTGGTGTGCAGGGTCTGAGGAGAGCACGAGTTCAGGGTCAGGCAGACCCAGAAAGGAACCTGGGACTGCTCTGGCTAGCACTTTATTGACTGGCCTCTGTGGGCTCACCTGTGAAATGTAAAGGGGGCACCCACCTGGCCATGCAAGGTCCACCAGGGCGTGGGACAGCCTGGTACAAGCTGTGGAGGCAGTGAGGGGGTGTGCTGTCCTCACCATAGCCTCTGCCCCCAGGATTGGAGCACCTGGAGAGCTCCAGGGCAGGGGGAGCTCCTAAGCTGAGAGCAGTCTTCCCAGGACACACAGTGATGGCCCTGTGACCACGGGCAAGTTGCTTTGCTTCTCTGAGTTTTCCTTGTTTGCCACATGGGGTAGCCGTCCCTGCGGGCAGAGGCATGGCCTCCACCTACACCCCAGAGCAGGTGGGTTCTTGCAAAGGCTGTGCCCTCTGGACCACAGAGCACGAATGACCTCAGATGCAGGAAGGCCATGTGGCCATGGGGCACAGGGGACCTGATGTGGGATGGGTTGGTGGCCCCTTTGCTAATGCCAACCTTGGCCCATTCTTTTCCAGGGCTGTGTCCGGGGTGGATGCTGACCCCAACTTGGTCCACATGGAAGCCCAGGACCTCAATGGAGGTAAGCGGGGAGGGGCAAGGTCGCAGGTGTCCCTGAGTGCCCTTGCTCGTGGGTTTGTCCTCGGCAGCTGGCCCTGCATGGCTGACCGGGCTGTGTTATGATGTAGCCTAATTCTGATTGTGCTTGCGTTCCCTCTGGGGATAAATGAGACTCGAGGTGCTCCGCTCCAGCGGAAAGTCTATTAAGAGGGCGATTGGTTCTGGCCCCTGAGCATTGAGTGTTTCCCGCAGCACAGCCCCAACCCAGGTTCGTTGAGTGCTAAGGCGGTGCAGGGCCTCCACAGCCCCCTCTCTGATGGCAGGGGTCTGGCCACCCCAGCCAATGGCTTCATGACATGGGCAGCCCTGGACCTTCCTGCCGTGAGGAAGCCCTCTGTGCTCCTGCTGTGGAACCGTGGCATGTCTAGAACCACGGGGCATTATAGAACCATTGAATGTGTTCTGGAATACCAGAGATGAGGGGACTATAGGTTGAATCTTCATCCAACAAACTCTTGGAGTTCTCTCCAGGACAGACCCAGTGCTGAACTATATGGGGACACAAAAGGAAATGAGAGAACCCTGGCTGTGGTCTGGAGGGAGATAGGGGGCAATGGTAAAGTGGAAGAAGCAGGGATCCCAGTATGGCCTGGTGGGCAAGTGGAGGACCCATACTGCCCGTGCATGCCTGGATGGGACGATCCCAGTGTGGCCTCAGCAGCCATGTGAACCCCACACGCTGAGAGGGTGACCAGTGAGGTCCCTCTGCAGACCGGGCTCTGCGTGGTCCACTGGTGTTGACACAGTGAGTCTGTGAGACCCTGGGCTCTGTCTCCCCACCTGTAAAGTGGGAAGATTAAGAAGAACAAAACAGGTTGGTACCCACATAGTGCTAAGCACGGGTCACTGCCAGGTGTACAGCAGCTGTGGCTAGGTCACAGCCACGGGCCATTTCCAAGTTCTCAGCCATACCATGGGTGGTAGGGCTGCTGTTACCAAGGTTTGCTTTTGATAATCAGGAGGACAGAGCTCAGAGCAGGTCCAGTTTTCCTGGACCATGACACTACAGGAGGGTCCACCCAAGCCCCTGCTTTGCCATCCTCCATGCACACCTTCTGGGGTCTTCACCAAACCCTAAAGAGACCAGGCTTCACACGAGGTGGCAGAGGTGTGACTCCCAGAAGGGCTCTACAAGGCAGCAGGGTGGTGGTAGGTTTTGACACGCCAGCACCCATCAGGAGGAAGGCGAGTCTGGAATCCTGGATCAGGACTGCCAAGACCCTCCACACAGCCGGGGTCCTGGGGAAGTCGAGCCTACATCCAGCAGCAGGTCATGTTCGTGAAGAGCCCCAGGCCTGAGTCCCCCCATGAGTGTCCCTCCCCAGCTCCTGAAGACCACAGGCCACCCCTGTCCAGCATTCACCCTGTCCCACCTGGAGCCCGGTCAGAGCGTGGCTGAGCCTGGTGGCCTGCCACTAGGGATGTAGGGTCCCACCTCCCACCCTGTTGCCCCCTCTGTCATCCTGTCAGCCTGACAGACCAATCTGCACACTCACATGTACCACTTGTCACCTTTGCCGGGCATGCCTGTCCCCATTTCCCCACCACCCCACAGCTGCCTCCTTCCCCATCCTGACAGGCATTCCTCTGAGCTCCTGGTCACCCACGCTCTCTCACACAGCTCTGCACATTCCCCTGGCTCTAGAGTTCCTGGGAGACCATGGGACTGACCGGGTTACTGTGTCCCCAGTAGAACTGCTAGGTGAATAAGATAAGCCCTAGCCAGAGACCAGTCACCCTGAACAGACCTGTGTACGAAGTGTCTAATTTGTCCCCACTCTTCTCCCTTGCTGTTCAGTCACCTCATCCAGGCTGCTTCGTCATGACAGCAAGGAAATCCACAAATTCACACAACTCTCAGCGCCAACGGCGTGACTTGGGCCCACATGGTTGACCCTAGGACTGGGACAGCAGGACCCTGACAATGTGGAGGGATGAGAGGATGAATGATGGATGGATGGTGTGGAAGGAGGAAGTGAGTGGATGAGGGACTGATGTGGAATGAGTGAGTGCGAAAATGAGTGGGTGACTGAATAAAGTGGATTGTCACCTGAGTCTGTCTCTGCATTTGTCCCTACCAGATCTTTGGCCAGGCAAACCTTCAGGAAATTCAGCAACCGCAGGGATGACCGTCACGGCCACCTTAAAGGGAGGGAATGGTGGCTGGGAGGTGGTGGTGATGGCATGGCCTCTGTGGCCTGGTGCCTGCTTTGTGCTGCTGTCTCTGAGTCTTAGTCAGGGTGTAGTGGAGGAACTAGAGGCTGAGGCCCCCATGGTGTGACACAGAGTGTGATTTAGGGCATGGGTCTTCCTGGCCCCAAAACCCAGACCCGATGACGCTCTGTGCTGCTCTGCCCCCAAGACCAGGAGCAGGACATATCCCTGAGGCCCTGTGGTCTCAGCGTGTCCTTCCCAGGGCTACACTTGGTACCTGTGGCCAACTGTGGCCAAGCCCACTTCTGGCTCACAGCTGGAAAAAGGAATTCCTGAGGTGAAAGCCCAGACCTCCACGTCTATGCAGTGCAGCACCAGTCCTGGAAACCACGCTGCCCCTCAAAGCCGCATTCACTTTGCCCTGTGGAGATATGTGAAGAGAGGGAAGCTTTTGCTCCAAGTTAGGGGGGCGCTTTGGAGTTACCTGTTCCTACCCGTTAGGTGCCAGAGTCTAAGGTAGAGGAGCCTGAGTCCTGGGTGGGACTCAGTAAGGTGCTGACCTCACTTGGCTATCCCTCCCTGTGAGCAGTGGCTCGCCCCCAGCTGCTGCTGCCTCTCCCTGAGAGCTGAAAGGGTTCCTCAAAGGGAGCCTGGCCCTGGGTGGCCCCTTTGACCAGCACAGGTGTCAGGACCAGGAAGGGCACTTTAAAATTGAAACCCACAAACCCCAGGCCATGGTTTTGTAAGACCACCAGAGCCAAGATGGTTCACGGGTCCTCGTGTCTACGTGTCTCTGACGTCTCTTCAACTGTCCGAACGCTGGGCATTTCACTCGCTCGTGGCTGGTTCTTATCTCCTGCAGGCTTTCGCTACATCACCTGCCAGGTCCACAACTGCTCGGATCAGACGCTCACAGCCCCGTTCGCAGGCCCCATTGACCAGGGCTCTCTTACTGTGCAGGACGATTATATCTTCCTTAAGGTGAGAGCTCAGGGGCTTGGTGACGGGGTATGGTCTCTCTGGGGGAAATGAAGCCATCAGAAGAAGCAATAACATGGCTACTTTACATAAGTGCCACTCAGCAGGTCACTGTGTCCTCAGGTCTGTGCTGTGGCTTCTGGCATCATCAGAAGGCTCCAGAACCTTGGTTTGGGCTGTAGGCTTCACCTCCTTTCTGCCCCCCAGAAACCTCCCCAACTGCCCCTGCCCATAAATCCAAGCCTGTTTCTCCCCATTCTGTTCCTTCAGTGCTGTGAAACTGTCCAGGGCTGTTCCTGGTCATTGTCCTTGACTGATGGTCACTGGCTGTCCACACCCCTGCACCTGTGCCCCTAGTGCCCTTGGATTACAAGTGGGACCACCACCATGTGGTTTGGGTCAATTCAGAAATCCTAGTGACAACTGGCTGGATGACTTTTTGTTCATCTGTATGGATGAGTTCAGCCTCTGCCAGAGCTCCTGGCCTGTGCAGGGCTCTACCCATGGCCCTGTGTCCTCTGGTCCCAGCTCTTGGCTCCTTCTTTGTCCTCTAAGTCCCTGTTGGACAAGGTCAGATCCTCCTGCTGAGAAAGACCTAGGGTAGCCCCAGGGTCCTGACCCCAGGGGCCTCCATATTCTCTCCATGCTTCTCCATGCTCTGTCTTGATGGCACCCCACACAGCACATGCCAAAGGCCACTGGGTTGGACAGGGCTATGTAGCCCCATCACAAAGGAGACTCTGGATCCCACGAAGTCCAACTTCCAGCCCTGCCTGTCTGCCTTGCCCTTGGCCAGCGCCCAGCCCAACGCTTGCTTCCTGAGCCTGAAACTCCCATTTCCCTCCTCCATGGGCTAATTCTTGCTCCTCTAACACTCATACTCACACCATCACCTCCAGACAGCCTTCCTGACCTCGGCTGCCCCTCTGGACCCCCAGCCCTGTGCCTTCCTGACGCAGCCAGACCCCACTGTGTCATCCTGCACCAGAATTCACTCCTGTCATTCCTGCACCAGACTCAGGTGTCTCCAGATCTGAGACAGCTTAGTCTCGGCACCTGCCACCCCGTTCCTGCCAGTGCCCACTACGTGCCAGAAGAGAGACCTTGCCAGCTTTCTTGACAACTATGTCCCACATTGGGTGGTTTTAAAGCATCATGACAGTCTGGCCTGTCAATTCCTCCCCAGCCCAGGCCCCAGGAGCACAGCTGGACTGGACAGCGGGGCTGGGAGCCTGGTCCAGGGCATCAGAAGGCTGTTGCAGGCGTAGCTGGGATGGAAGTGATGTGGCTGTGGGCTGGGCTGTCAGAAGGCAGGTCACCCATGATGGGGGATCTCGGACACTCGAACCCAGGAGGAGAGATGATGACAGGATCCTCTTCTTGGTCAGGATGGGGCAGTCAGTGGGGTGTAAACAACGATCCTGTGTGGTCTGTGTTCAGACATGATTGCCGGGGACCCTTTTTTCCATCTTCACTGTCATTCAGATCAGAGTGGCCTTGTGCAATACTGGTTCTGGGGACACTGGGTTGGGCAGGAGAGGCACTGGGACTCCAGAGACACCCAGGTTTCACTGCAGGCTGCAGGGCTCTGCACCTCCAAGCCTCGTTTGCGTGGCTCTCCAGAGCCACCCTGAAAAGCTTCTCTGACCTCACCTTGGCCTCACCACCATCTGTTCTCCCTTCTCTACCCTGGTTCTCAGCGGACTGGCGCCTGAGCCAAGATGGGGAACCTCAGCCCTCCAGCCCCACCTCATACCAGCGAAGGGGGACAATGCGACCTCCTGTGGCAGTGCAGAGGCTCACACACAGTAACTGCCTCTGTTCTTGTCTGGTCTAGGCCTCATGTCTCTAGGGAACTTTCCCCAGATGTAGGAAATCCAGTGCTGAAAAAGCATGGGAAAGAGTCCACTGAAGGGCATGCAGGAAGACTCCCCCAGGAGGGTCTTTGAATGATGACTAGGAGTCTACTTCGGGCAGAGCAGGCATGTGTTAGACTGTTGTCAGTGTGACAGAACAACTGCCAGAAACAACTTGAGGGAGGAAGGATTTTTTTGCTCATGGTTGCAGAGGTGTCAGTTCATGACATCAGGAGGGTATAGTGGAGCAGAGCTGCTCACCTCGTGGTGCCCAGGAAGCAGAGAACCTGCGCTGGCAGCTTCTCCCCCTACTTCCCCTTGAACTCCTCCAGTGCCCCAGCCTGTGGGGTGGTGCCACCCACATGCAGGACACGACTTTTCCTGGACACACTCTGCCCAAAGTGGACTCACCAGAGATGCGCTTTGCTAACTTCCTGGCGCTCTCAGTGCCATCAGGGTGACACGCCACGGGCATGAACTCAGTAGAAGGGTCTTTCACCAGCCAAGAACAACGTGCCGTGTTCATTCTGAGGAAATCCAGTCCCTCAAACCCGTGTTTCTCCTCCCGTTAGGCAACGTCTACAAACCGGACGAAGTACTACGTCTCTTACCGTCGCACTGAGTTCGTGCTGATGAAGCTGCCCAAGTACGCATTGCCAAAGGTAAGGGTGTGCGCGGTCTCCAGCCCGTGGCTGGGACCGCCACCTGCCCTGCCTCTCCAGGAAGCAGTGCCAGGCACACAGTGGGTGCTCAGGCCTGGTGCACAGGTGCTCGGGGCCCAGGTCAGGATGGATGTGAACCAGCATGGCTGTGCCTCCTCGGCCATTTGCCCCCCGCCATCTTCACCTCCACCCTTGGATCCCCCTTCCAGTCCAGCCTGCCTTGGGCCCCTGCCTGGCCTCCCCTCCCCTCCTTTGGCCTATCCCTGACTCTGGCTTATGCGATATCTTAGGAGAAATGTCACTTCCTAGTGACTGTCCAGGCCAGGCTCCGTGCTCTGCCCCCTTCTCCTTCCAGACACCAGGGTTAGGGACCCCCTGAACCCCCCCTCCTGTCTGGCATCACCAGGGAATGGGGACAGTCTCTATTTTAATCAGCTCTGCATACCAGCTGCCTATTGAAATACCAGGCACACAGTGGGTGCTCAATTAGTGCTGCTTCCTTCCTTGTGTCCTATCCCTATGGAGATTTCAGACAGGGAACAGCCAGGGCCAGGTGGACAGAGAGATGTATAAAATAATCTGAGTCTTGATTTGTGCTGTGATGGGGACGAGAGGCAGAGACAGTAACAGAGGGTGTGCCTGTGTGTGTGTATGTGTGTGTGTGAGAGAGAGAGAGAGAGAGAGAGAATGTATGAGAGTGTGGTGTGTGCATGTGTGGTTGTGGCTGAGTGAGATCAAGAAGCCATGGAAGGCCCCTCTGGGCACATTTCATTTGAAACTCCAAGGTTATCAATAAAGAAGCTTTGGAAAAGCAAGGGGGATAAAACCTTCAGATGGAGGACAGGGCTTGAGCAAAGGCTCTGGGGCAGAGAGGCTAGTGGAGGGCAGTCAGGTGGACAGAAAAGACAGCTGCTTGGGGGGCCTCCAAGTCGAGGGGCCCCAATCTTAATGTCCTTAGGCTCTTGAGCAGCCAGGCTGTGCGCTACAGAACTCTCCTGATAGCCAAATGGGAAAAGTCCATGAGGCCTTTGTTAAACATCTCTAAAAACAGAAAAGAAAAGAAAATGGAAAGGAGGGAAAAGGAGCAAGCTTAGCAGATTAATTCCAAGCCTGGCTGAATGGGTAAATTAAGAGCTAATGGCTTCACTGCAGGCAAAGGCAGGCACCCTGAGGGTGAGGGGCTTCCCAGCACCTGAGGACTTTCCCTCTGCCAGTGACAGCGACCCTGGGGGCTGGGGCAGCAGAAGCTCCTGAGCCTGTGGTCCTGGAGTAGGGAGGGAGAATAGCAGTGGGGAGCAGCCACTCAGTCCCTTCCTATCCCCTACTGACCCTGGGACTGGACCAGCACCTGGTTGGTTCCCATGAGTGACCTCAATGACCTTGAGCAGGCTGGGGCTTTTGGGACCTCCGCCCAGCTGCTCTTCTTCCTCACCCAGCGCAGCCTCATGAACCAGAGTCCTGTCAACAAGTCACACAACCACAACCGGCTAATTGAATTTCCTAACCAGATTTTGTTGTTTTATGGTGAATTTGTCACTCTTGCCTGTTTCCTCCTTGCAAACCACCCCCATCTTTTTTCTTTTCTTATTTTAAATTGCCTAAGTAACAAGAAAAGTAGTGCCTTTGTAAAAACAAGAGTGTTTGGAGCAGAAGGGCCACCCACACACCTCCCTCCCCATCCCTGGTCCTGGCTCCCCACCGGCCCCATGCCAAAGTGACTTTGATGCAGCTGAATCAGGCAGGAACAAGCACCCAGCAGCCTGCGATCTGTGACATTGTATCAGAACTTCCCTAGGACGATACACAGTGTCCACGTTAAGTGGCCACAGAACTCCCACACAGGAGCCTGGACCCTGGTTCACTCAGCCAGGTTCCTCTAGACATTTGGGTGAGTTCCGGTTTTCATGATGGCAGCAGCTCTGCGCCGTGCGGCATTGCTTTGGAGTTTCCTCAGGACAAAGCACAGGAGGCTTCCTGGTGTAAGAATGCAGGTCATCGCGGTGAGGGCGGACGGTTTCCACACAGCACACAGAGTTCTGTGTTTCTTGGGTTTTTCCTTTCCTCTCCTGTGTTGAAGGCTACAACTGATAGCATTTACCTCCCTGGGAAAGCCAGAAGGAGTGGGAAGCTCTCAATGTGTGTTAGTGTCATTTGTTCAAATTGTAATTGTAATGATTTAAAAAAAAAAATACTGAAATTCCCTAATAGAAGAAAAAAATGTTCAAGGCTATATAAACAAAGAAGGAAAAAAACCCAAATGACTCTGAGTCATATAGAAACTCGTAACAGTAAGACCAACGCAGGTTTACGTGGAAGCATCTGTAATGAACTTATTGAAAGTAAAACAGGAATAGAGGGAGTTCTGTTGGGAATGAGCCCCAGGACCCTGTCCCAACCCTGCGCGGCACCTGCGCTGGCTCAGTGTGGCCCAGGTGACTATTTGGAGCTCCAGACTCTGCTCTGAGACCTGCACTGCCCAGGCAGTGACGGCACAGCAAGGTGAATGTCAGCGGTTTCAGCTTAGTCTGGTGGCGTTACCCACGCCCGCCCTCGCCCACTGCGGGCCAATGGGCCCACGTTCCTGGAACTGCTTGCATAAAGCCTGCATAGCCAGCATGGCGATAGGGACCATGTCCTCCAAACAGTGGGACCTGTGCTCCTGTGCAATGGCTGTCCCCATGAGAAGGTGCGGTCAGTAGTGCAGCCACCACCAGCCAAAGCAGCTCCCAGGGACTTAAAGGGCCAGAGCCCATTCTCGGTCCGTTTTATCCCCCCCTTTCTCCTTTGGGAGCCAGACATTTCAGGACTTGTGCATTCAAAAGTAACCGCATACATGGGGGATTTAGGCAGTGATCATGCCTGCCCAGGCAAAAGAAAGGGTGGGTTCTTGGAAGATTTCAGGTTCCCATGCTAGGCTGAGCCTTAGTGCAGAGGCAGACTGTGACAATCCAAAGTAAAAACAGGGGACTGTGTAATTCCAGAGTTATTATATCATTAGATTCAAACATCTAGTTTCAAACAACGACAACAACAAAATCACAGGGCATTCAGAGAATCAATAAAGTGTGACCTAGTCAAAGAAAAACCAGCTGATCAGGGCTAGACATGGTAGTGCATGCCTATAATCTCAACTACTTGGGAAGTGAAAATTGCGAGGATCATGATTCCAGGGTAGCCCAGGTGAAAACATGGTAAGACCCCATCTCAACCAACAACCTCAGTGTGGTACTATGCATCTGTAATCCAAGCTTTATGGGAGGTGTAAGTAGGAGGATCACAGTCTAGGATGGCCCAAGCAAACAAAACAAAACCCTGAGAACCTATCCAAAAAATAACCAAAGCAAAAAGGGCTGGGGGCATGGTTCAAATAAATGGTAGAGCACCTGCCTAACAAGCATAAGGCCCTAAGTTCAAACCCCAGTACCACCAAAAAAAAAAAAAATGGAAAGAAGGAAGAAGGGAAGGAAGGAGGGAAGGAAGGAAGGAAGGAACCAGCGGGTAGACCTACTACACAAAGACTTAAATACTTAGAGAACTAAAGAAAGACACAAAGAAAATGAATTATGGACAAAAACAGAAAGCATAAAAAGGAGCAAAAAGAAATTCTGGAGCAATAATTGGATAGAAACAAGAATTAGAGGGAGATGCCACTGGAGGCACCAAGCAGATTTGGGCAGGCAGAAGAAAGAGCCAGAGAACCTGAGGGCAGCAGAAATGATGGGACCTGAGAGCAGGGAGGAGGAAGGCTGAGGTCACGGCCATGGAGCTCAACGCAGCGCTCGGAGCCAGAAGGAGCAGAGAGGTTGTCTGCAGAAGCCATGATGGCCCAGAGCTTCCCAAAGCCATAAAACACGCGAATGTAAGGGTCCAAAAGGCTGAGGAGCTGCAGGTGTGAGAAGCACAAAGGCGCACACCCCGGGGTGATGCAGGGATGGAGCTGGGGAAGCAGCAAGAGGGCGACTTGTCACATACTAGGGACCCCCGCCGAGATGACCTGCAGATTCTCCATAAACCTGAGGCCAGGGACAGTGAGCCACTATGGCCAAGGTGTCGGAGGAGCAGGAGGGTGTGGGTTCCATGGACTTGAAATAAAGATCTATGGAGGACCTTCTGCGGCCACGCAAATGCTTCTAGACTTTTCTGTATGTGAAGTCTGTGAGTTACACACATGACTGCTGCCTGCTCGCCTCTTTCCTCTTTCCCTCTGACAGCCTCATTTCTTCCCTCTTGAGTTAGCGGTCGACACTCCTGGAGGCTTCTCGGTAGCCATTCTGCTCTTCCTCGTAGCATAGCAAACCCACCTTTGAGCTGGTGCCTGGCTTCCCTGCAAACAGGCTGCATTTCTAGCTTCCTGGGCAGCAGCACACCGTCACGGTCCTGAAAATCTGCAGGTGAGATTTGAGGGAGTGGTCACAGGAGACTTCTGAGAACGCGCCACTCCACCGAAGGCCAGCCTTTCTCTTCCTCTTGCTTCCTCCTTCTTGTTGCCTTGCCTGTCAGTGTGATGGCTGGAGCTCTGGTATTCATATTGGGCCATAAGGACAAGGGACATGCAGTGGTGACTTTGTAGGAAGGAGCCGCTGTCCCTGGTGACTTCACAGTGCTTCCACACTGGACATCCAGACTTCTCCCACACACAGGATAAATAGCACCTACCTTCTTTAAGTCACCTTTTCCTCCCTAGTTTTTATTACTGTCAAGCAAACCTGATTCTAACTGATAGCAAATGTTGACACTGTGTTGACATCCTGTAGGTCACACGTATGCGAACATGACACAGATGGTGTAAACATTGTTCCTTGTTTAACAATGGAGTCAAGAACTGTTCCACTTCCTTTCTTAAAAGTGAAAGGAGGAGCAAGAAGAAAGAAAAGGCAGCTTTGTGCCTTTTCTTGTGCATACCGTTTATCGCTCTGATCGGCGAGGATTTTAAACCCACAGCTGTCATGTCAGCATGCGTGACGGGGACGAGCAGCCTCCTCTTGCTGGTGGGAAGGAGTGAACAGAGCCTCTCAGGACAGGAACTTAACGACCTTCAACAAGCACTCTACAAAGTTCCCAGTCTCCCAAAGCAGCAATTTCCCTCTTAGAATTTGTGTTCAGGTTCCAGCAGAGAGGCAGGGACGGTGTCTGGGAACGTTCACGACTACCCTGCAGTAATGTTGGAAGTGCTGAAGTTCCACTCACAGGATGAAAAACGGCACATCCACAAATGGCACATTACGCAGTCATTAAAAAGTGGTGTTTATAAATGACGCTGGGGGCAGAGGAGAATGCTCCGTGTCACGTGGATGGGCAAGCTATAAGCCGCAGAGCATATGAGTCACACTTAGGAAAAATCCCAAACATCCACAACTTAAAATGTTGATACCAGGTCTCTCTGGAGGGCACTGCACACAGCTCCGAGCCACTTTGTACATTCCTGATTCCTGGATTGGAGAAAGCACTTACCAGACTCAGGGCAGCAACATCTGTGTTATTGAGGTCACTGCCACAAATACTGAATCCTGCCTGTGCCGCATCCCGGCTGCCTTCTCAGTATGACAAAAAGGAGCCTCATTTCCCACGCCAACCTGACTGTAGTCTGCACAGTCTGCGCTCTGCCACAGCACGGGCTGGTGGGGCTGGAGAGTGACCGATTCCCTGGTGACAGTGCATCCTGGCCTGTGGCTCTAAGGAGGCAGAATGGCGGAGGGAAGGTGGACAGACAAGAGTGGTGACCAGCCTGCCCCCAACCCCAGGCACTTCCTGTGCATCACCTGGACCCCCACCACCCCTTGTCCCATTTCACAGATGGGATTCGCCAGGCCCTGAGGCTCTGCCATCCTTCCCAATTACAGTCTTCTCATTACCGTCATTTCTGCGGGTCGGATCCATGTCTGTAGACTTAGGGCTCCAGCTTGTGTGGCCGCAGGGCCCCTTGTGTCTGTGGGGTGTGTAATTTGTGCTTCACAATCACACTTCACCTTTCCACAAAGCCGTCTGGACACTCAGCCCAGAGGCCAGGCTGGGCAGGGAGAAGAAGGTCCGGGTGTGAGGCTCAGGAGCCCAGGTCACCCCAAGCGGCCAGCCAGGCAGCTGCTTCTTCACCCTCAGCCAAAGGCTCTGCTGGAGCAGACAGCACAGGGACTCTACCTGCTTCACATAGGAAAACGCTGCCCCCATAAAGTGAGCGCATCCCAAAGGGCAGCAGGTCTGCCTGAAGTGGGGACGGGCCGGATCTGTGGGTGAGGACCAGTGTTCTGATCCGCATCCGTGTCGGCTCCTCCATCCCAGTTCTGTTATCAGAAGGGCTGTATAAGTTTCCAAGTGATCAAAGGCAAAGTCATAGCAGTGGGGAATAAACCAGTTAGGGCTGTGCAGTGGGCTGATCAACACCAGTTCACAGGGCTCACCGGGCTCTCAGCTCCTGCTGAGCGAGAAAGAAAAACAAGAGGCCAAGGTCAAGGTTGGCCAAGGTTTCCTTTTCATTTGATTGGGTTTTTTTTCCTGATTTATAAAGTCTGTAACTGATCCCAGAGACCACTTGCTGAGCCAACACAGAGCTGCCTGATCTACTTGCTCCCAGAAAGGGAAAGTGAGGCTCGTTGCCTCAGCTGTTCCTCTTGACACTTTCTGATCACTCATGGGGCTGAGGGCTGGTGTGGGGCTGGCATGAAGGAAGCACAAATGACAGTTCATCTGTCAGGGTGGTGGTGATATCCAGGACAGGGAGCTCTTGCAGATTAATGCAGGAAAACCTCTGCTGAGGTGCATGCAAGGGAGAGTTGATGTCCATGAGGGAGGGCTCACGTCCCCAGGGTTCTGCATCCAGTGCCAGCACACAGCCTGGCACATGGCAGCTGTTTATAAACAGGTGCTGACTTATGCACAGCGACTCTCCTGCCCCTTAGGATGGGAGGGGACCCCAGAGTCACTGTGTGGCAGCTGGACAGATGGACAGGTGGCCTGATGGGCAGTAGGGAGGAGGAAGCAACCCAGGGTTACCTATGGTATGGAGATTTCAGATATTACCCCATTTTCAAGATGTAAAAATGGAGGCCCAGGGAGGTTAAGTGACTTGTCCAAGGCTACAGAGTCCAGTGTGGCAAGGTAGGATACAAATCTAGACCAGCCTGACTCCAAGAGCACAGGCAAGCCACTTCAGCTCACTCAGGCCACCACCTAGCCACCTCTGACACTACTCTTCTCTCTCTAGGACCTACAGATCGTTAGCACAGACGAGAACCAGGTGTTCGTGGCCGTGCAGGAATGGAACCAGGTGGACACCTATAACCTGTACCAGTCAGACCCACGGGGAGTGCACTACTCACTGGTGCTGGAGGACGTGCGTAGCTCACGGCAGGCGGAGGAGAGCGTGGTCATCGACATCCTGGAGGTGGGCCAGGAGACTTCAGGCAGCACGCATGGGGGCGGGGACTACCCTGTGCCCTCTCCCTCCTCTTTCCTATCCCTGCCCCCATGCCCAAGCTCAGGGGTCACAAACATTTTCTGAAGGATGACAATCATTTTAGGTTTTGTGGGCCAAGAGGACATTTGTAGATATTTTTAGAGTGAGAGAGAAAAGGGGCTCTTTTTAATGAAATTCAAAATGTAGCCATCATCTAGTTCAAGTTTGTGTAATGACAAGAGGGAATTCTGGGGGAAACACTTTGTAGAATTGGGCTCAACCTTAGCCATCTTCTGTAAAGCCATTCCTAGCCCCAAAGCAGGCCCTGTCCAGGACTCTGCTGAAGACCACTGTGTCCCAGGGTGGGGGGGCATCTCTCCAGCATCTGTCTTTCGCCTCATTCCTCTTCTATGTCTGTCTGTCTCCTCCATGCTCTGTCTTTCTCCTCTCAGCCCCTCACCATCATCTGTCCTGACTTCCTCCCCAAATTCAGTGCCTAGAGCCTCTGAACCAGGTTGTCTTTACCAATTTGGAGCAGCAGAGTCTCTGCTCCCTCCCTGGAGTCCTGACCTTGCCTGTCTCCCTTGCAAGGCTCTTCCCCAGGCTCCCGGCACCCATGTGGGGACTCTCCATCAGGCAAGAGTGCCCAGGCCCCGTGCCCTGACCCACTGTGTGGACTCCACACACGTCTATCAGACATGCCTACACAGGCCATTACAGGCCCCCTCTGCTCTTGTCAACTCTATAGCCCAAGGGATGGGGGGAGGAGTGTGGGGAAACTGAAGCTCAGAAAAGCAAATGAACCATTCAAACAGTCCCAGGCTGAGCAGGAAAACCAGAGCAAGCCTAATGTTTCTGATCCCAGTTTGGTGGCATCCCCTGAGGATCCTCTTGGTCAGTCAGTGCCCCCAGTCCCTCCCTCATGCCCCACCCTTAGGAAGCCCTAGCCAGTGGTGATGTCCACATTGGCCAAATGGTGCAGGTAGTTGGGTAAGAAAGGCTGGATGGTGGGCATGGCACTCAGGGTCTCTCATCCCTGCCGGAGCTGGACAGGCACCTGTGGTGGCCCTTGGGAGGACAGTTGAGTTTATCCCTTGTGAGTTGGTGGTGACCTCACAGATATAGGGAGCCTTAAGTGTATCCCTAGCTATCAGCAGCATCAGAAACCATTGTCCCTGGGAAAATGATGGATGTGGTGGCTTATTTATAAAGAGAACTATTTGTCAGGTCTACCTCCCAAGCAGGGTGGTGCAGATGGACCTCCCTGGCCTCACTGCCCTCTGCTGGAATCTGCCCTGAGCTCCCCAGCCCCCCACAAAGCCCATGACTTCAGAATGCCCCCACAGGTGACCAGACGTTGGCACCTCACAGCTGCAGCTTCTGCACCAGGCCAAGGGTAAAGGGTAATGGCGTGGAGGATACCAAGTCTGGGTCTCAGACATGGGAGATGCCCATCTGCTCTGTCCACGGATGTCTGACACACATGGGGTCACAGGCTGGGACCCAACACATACTACCTGCCTTACCTCCGATGAAGCAGTGGCTCTAACCCAGTGTGCCACTGCCTGGGGACACAGTGCAGGGCTGGTGGCCAGCCTGAGGGTAAAGGGGACAGGCAGGGCTTCCTGGAGGAAGGGTGCCGAATGGAGCTGAGGCAGAGCAGAGGCGAGCTAGGGGAGGAGCCAGGATTCCGTAGAGAGGACAGATGGCTCAGATCCAGTCATGAAGACCAGTAGGACAGCAGCAAGGAAGCTCAGGAAGGTCTCGGAAGCCAGGTGCAAGGTAACATCTGCTGCCTGGCTGGCTGCCTCTCCAGTGATATCACCTCTCTGACCCTCCACCCATCAGATGGGGATCACAGGGGGTGAAGACAGTCATAGTTCTGGGTCTCAGCTGCTCGAGTTCCTAGCCAGGTTCTGGTTTGCCTTGCTGAGTGGTCTTAGGCAAGTTACTTACCCTCTCTGTGCTTGGTTCCTCATTGTGAAACTGGATGACAGCGGTTCCTTGTGTTAGGTCTGCTTTGAGAATTCCAGGGCATCCTTCGTACCACACACACAGACCAGCTCTCAGCACCAAGCGAGTGCTTCATGGTTTCTTCACAGGCTCGCCTTTTCTGGGACTAGGGCTAATGCACCAGAAGGTTCTGACACGGCCAGCCCACGAGGGCCAAAATACGTGACTAGCACCATCACTGTCATGGAGATGCTTTGCTCTGAGTCACCGGCCCACCCAGACTCAGGGAAAGAGCACATCTTTGCCAGGCTGCCTGGAGAGGCCAGGACCCTTCCTGGAGCCTCTAAGGGGCCACCCATGCTTTGTCTTTGGACCCTGACCTCCAAGAGAACAAATGCATGTTCCTTCAAGACTCCCAGTTGCCGTCATTTCCAGCAGCCGTGGCCCGTGAGTAAGGCCACGAAGCAGACAGTTAGATGAAGCCATGTGGGTATTTGGAACTGATGCTCAGCCAACGGAAATCCCCACCTCTCTGCCAGGGGAGACTCAGCCAGCAGCTGCTGGTCTCCCTGGGGTGTGAGGGGTCACTCATGGACAAGTGTTTCCACAGACACCTATCCAGATATAAAGCAGCCTTTAAGGGACTAGCGTGAGCACATGCCATGTCCTGCCTGCCTCTGACCGTGGGACAGCATCTCCACCAAGCACGGGTGGACCCCAACCTTCCCAGAGATGTCGGTTCCCCTTTACTCCTGCCTTGGGGCCGCGGAGCCTCTCAGTGCTGCTCTGCCTGGATGGGTTTCATTTACCTCCTTCACTTATTTATTTATTTTTGTTACATGGCTTGTAGAGGCTGAGACTGACCTCCACAGCAAGGCAGAGATGGGTAGAAGAGCCTGGGCACTGAATTCCACCTGGGCCCTTGCAGGCCTTTGGCAGGTGGCTTTGTCCCCTGAGTCTTGGTTGTGTCAACTATAGTGTGCTGAGATCTACCCATGATGAAAGTGGACTGGGGGCCAGTGTTGTCTGCAACTGGCCCGCAGAAGCTGAACACGCAGAGCTGAGTATCTGGATAGCAGACCCAGGACTCCACAGTGCACAGCTCACCATGGTCCTGTCCCCTGGTCCTCAAGTCAGGTCGGTGCTGCAGAGGCCAAAGCTGTGGACACCACCTCAGTACCTTCTCCGCTACTGGGTATAGCCCCAGAGTGTCCCTAGCCCCCAGAGGCCTAAGGCCTAGAACTGGACACAGAGTCCAGCGTAGCCTTTGTGTCCTAAGAGGGGGCATTAACCCTTCCTCTGCTGGACCTGTGCCTCCCACTGATGCTGCCCAGGCCGAGTTCCCCACCTCTGCCTGGACCACTGGACCATAGGACCGTTCTGCCAGGAGAGACCTCAAAGCTGTCACAAAGAGTCCTTTTCATACTATATGTGAGTTTTGTCCATCACAGGCTGAGCCTTGTGGCAGGCTCGATGCCGTGACTCATCCTCTGGTCACAGGGTTTGTGACTGGTCCACTCACCAGAGCAGAGGGGCCCATCAAAGTCTGCAGACAGCACACACTCCATGCCCCTCTCTGCCTTCCCAGCCTTAAGCAGCCCCTAGCCCTACAGTCTCTGTAGAGGTCTGGGGAGCTCAGGTCATGGAGCCCCAGGGCCCTGCTGGGCCTGGACTTGGTGCCATTTCTCACTATGAAGCTGGATCTGGCTGAAGGAGCCCATTCTTGTCTTGGAGGCTGGAAGGCACAATTCCAGACAGCCTAGGGCCCAGTGGCAGGAAGCAGTGTTCTCAGCAGGGCAGCAGAAGTAGCTGTGATCCTGCAGGCCCTGAGTGACCCCTATCACTCCTGCAGGACCATCCCTGAAGCCTTGTTTGTGCAGACCTGGCAGCTGCCCCCACAGTAGCATCCCACACAGAGGACACAGAAGACACAGGCCACGACGCACAGTTCTGGTTTGCCACATGCGAGGAGCTCCTTTGAAAGCTGGGAGGAAGTTTACAGGGTGATCTGCTTCACTTCTAGTTCCACCTGCCTATGTCCACCAAGCCTGGTAATCCCAAGGAAAATAGCGGAGCTCCTGTCCCCTATACCCACCCTATGACGTCAGCCCCCAAGTGTCTTGAGGTCCAGCTCCAAAGTGTAACTTCAACACCTGACATCCGCAGGAAGCAGAATGATGCCCCGGCAAAGATGTCCATGTTCCCAAGAACCCATGATTATGTCACCTTACATGGCAAAGGGGTCTCTCCCGGTAGGATTAAAAGCCTTAGCTGAGTGGACCCAACGTGCTCACCAAGGTTTCTAAGTGAAAGAAGGAGGCAGAAGAGGAGGATTGGGGAGATGGAGATGAGGAAGGGGACACGTGTCAAGGAACACAGGTGCCTCTAGAGGATGGAAAAGGTGAGGAATGGATCCCCCACTGTGGCCTCCAGAAGGACCCAGCCCTGTGGACACCTTGATTTTTAGCCAGTGGGCATGCGTTGGACCCTACAAAGCAAGAGAATAAGTGTGTGTTGTTTTAAGCCACTGGGCCTGTGGCATGGAGCACAGCAGAAGTGGAGCACAAACAGATGCTGACACTTGGAAGTGAGCCGCTGCTGTGTCCTATCTGTAACTGTGGAATTGACCTAGAACTTGGCAGAAGCTAGAAGAATTTCGAGAAGCATGACAGAAAGGTCCTCGATTGCTGAGGACAGTTTGTTAGCAGGAAATGGTCACTAAGGGCTCTGCTGGTGAGGCTCACAAGGAGGCACTGGGCAGCAGAGGGGCTATCCTAGTTACAGAGTGGCAGGGAGCTTGGCCGGAAGCTTTCCAAGAGAACTTGTACATCATGAACTTGGATATTTATCTCAGGAGATTTATGAACAAAGTGTTGACCGTGTGACCCGGTCTCTGCTTTCTGCTCAGAGTACAGTGGGAGAATTGTTAAACAGGAAGGAACCAGGCCTCTTGTCCTGAAACCCCTGCCTATCCAGATCACAAAGGATGCTAAAATTAGGAAAGCAGGTGCTAAAGAAAATGTACCAGGTGTGACCAACTCGCCTTTGATTAAACCTCAGAGAGGTTCAGCAGTTAGAATATTCGCTCAACGTGTCTTTGAAACCATCAGGTATGTGAGTCCCCCCTTCACCATCTCAGCAGAAGCCACAACATAGAGACGGGGTCTCCCAGGAAAGATCTGTGAGGGAGCCTCTTCGGCAGTGGAGCAAATCCCGGTGATATCAGCGGGAGGCCCACTGAGATTCTGAGGCTGTCACACCAGCAGAACACTGCCCTGTGGCCTGCAAGAGACAGAAAGGATGACACACACACACACACACACACACACACACATACCAAAAAAAAAAAAAAAAACAAACCACGCATCTGGATCCCCAAATTCTACGGGCAGAAAATACTCTGATAGAACTGCTGTGCTGCCCTGCATGGAAAAGCAAGGATGGCCCAGGGGTCGGAGCCAGGGACCACAAACAACTGCTCCCAAACCGAGAGGCCTGGTGGAATTTTCCTGCTGCAGTGCAGAATGACTTGAGAGCAGGTCTCTTTTTGTCTTCCCAACTGTCTCCATTCTGGGGCTGCGGTGTCTGCAACAATTATCCTGTGCCTGCCCCGCATTGTTTTGGAAGCAGATAACTTGTTTCCTCAAGGATCCTCGAGGATCCAAATTGGATTATACCTAGCGCTCACCCATTTGGATGGTTTTATTTGTTGATTGTGGATGGATTGCTTGATTTTGGGGTACTGCAGAGTTGAACACAGGGCCTTGCTCTTGCTAGGCAGGTGCTCTACCACTTGAACCACACTGCCAGGCCTTTTTGCACTGGTCATTTTTGAGATAGGGTCTTGCTTTATTCCTGGGCTGGCCTGGACCACAGTTTTCCTATTTGTGCCTCCCTGTGTTGGTGGGATGACAGGCGTGTGCCACCATGGCCAGCCATTGGTTGAGGTAGGGGTCTTACAAACTTTTTGCCCAGACTATCCTTGAATCACATCCTCCTGATCTCAGCCTCACAAGTAGCTGGGATTACAGGCATGAGCCACTACGCCCAGCATTTGGATGGTTCAGATTATGAGGTGATGAAAGTTAGTGGAGATATTTTTTGTCTTTGAATTAATGCTGTAAGTAATGACCACCCGAGACGGGGTGAATATTTCAGATGAAGGACTCATCTTTGGGGGTCAGAGGGTGGACTTTGCTAGGTAGAATGATGTCCCCCTCAAAAATATCCACTTCCTAATTCCCAGAACCAGGATTATGTTGCATATCATCATGAAGGGGAAATAAGAGGAGGACGGCGGATAGGGAGACTACTGTGGGTCACCTGAATGGACCCCATGTAACTCTGAGAGTCCTGAGGAGGGAGGCAGAAGATGGTTAGAGAGAGAAAGATGATGGTCAGAGAGGTACAATACTACTGACTTTGAAGATGATGAAAGGATCCAGAAGACAAAGAATGTAGGAGACTTCTAGAGGCTGGAATAAGTGAGGAATGGGATTCTCTCTGCAGCCTCCAGAGATGAATGCAATTCTACTGACCCTTGATTAGATCAGGCACCTGTGTGAGAGTACTGACCTCTGGAACTCTAAGATAATAACTGTGATATTTTGACAGTGATAGGAAAACAATATGCCATCCCTCCATTTGTCTACCCATCCATCCATCCATCCATCCATGCATCCCTCCATGCATCCACCCATCCATCTATCCATTCCTCCATTCATCCAGCCACCCATCCACCCACACATCCATGCACTCACCCATCCATCCATGTGACCTTCCATCCACCCTTCCATCCACCTATCTACCCATCTGTCCATCATCCATCCTTTCACCCATTCATCAGTACATCCCTCCATGCATCTACCCATCCATCTATCCATTGCTCCATCCATCCATCCATCCACCCACCCTCTATCCATCCTCCCATCCATCCACCCATCCACCACCTATCCACTCATCCATCCATCTACCCACCCACCCACCCATCCATCCACTCACCCACCCATCCATCCACTCCCCCACCCACCCACCCATGTATCCATCCTTCTATCCACCCATCCATCCATCCATCCATCCATCCACCCCCTGTCTACCCCCCATCTTTCCATCCACACATCTCTCTATGCACTGGACCATCCGCCCATCAAACCATCCATCCACCCCTGTCCTCCGTGCCAGCACACTCGAGGGGAGTAACGGCACTGACAAATGCCGCCATGGTATATACAGAGGAGCAGAGGCAGCCTCTGCCTGTGGGGGCTTAGATGAAAGGGGTCTTCCTGTGCCTGTCACACCACACTAGCAGCTCCCAATAGATGTAGGTCTGAGTCATGCGATGCAATAAGGAACTTGTAGAACAGGGCATCTCTGTGACAGAGCCATTCGGTTGTCCTCGGTGTCATTGCTAGCACCTGTACATTTCTTGTGGCCAGCACGCCCTGGGCCTCGTAGGGCCCTTGAGAAAAGAAGCAAGGAAGTTAGAATGGAGTCCCACCCAGAGCATGCAGGCATGAACTCCCCACCCAGTCATTTTCCCAGCAGGGGGTGGGGTGGGGGGCGTTGAGCTAAGGGGTCCCTAGAGAAAAGCCCAGAAGCAATTCCATTGGCACAGGACCCAGGGGTCTGACAGAAACAGGAAGTAAGGGGATATCAAGTTCTGGGAAAGGACGTGAGGACTTAGCTGCATGGGCAGGTCAGGGGAACCTGGTGGTCAGAGGTCCTGGAAGGGGAGTTCATCATCACACAGGTCACTCAGGCCTCAGAGCAGAGAGAGCCAGCTTCCTTCAAATTCTGGCCTCCAACCGTTGTCCCCAGGCCCCATTTGCCTCTGGCATGTCCCTGTCTGCAGGGCTGCAGGGCTGCAGTGAGGGTGAGGCTGTGCGCAGAGTGCTCAACACAGGACTGGCGTGGGGAGGAAGGACACAGTCCTCAGAGAGCTCAGGTGGGCTTCACTGTCCTTCTTGTGTTGTCCCAGGTCCGAGGAGTGAAAGGCGTCTTCCTGGCAAACCAAAAGGTTGATGGAAAGGTGACAACACTCATCACTTACAACAAGGGCCGTGACTGGGATTACCTGAGGCCACCCAGCACCGACATGAATGGGAAACCCACCAACTGCCAGCCGGTAGGTGCCCTGCCCACGTCGTTTGTCACTCAGGTGATGCAGACATCACTGCTGGGCTCCATATGAGACATGGAGCCACCTATTTCTTCTGGGCACGCAGGAGGGGCACAGAGAGGGAGGCATGTCCACTGGTTTTTGCCATGGGGCTGCTATGTGAACCACCCGACACAGCAGCCACTTATTCTCACTGGGGCAGCTTGGCAGGCAGCTCACTGGCCTTGGCTGGGCTCCATGTCTGGGAGTCACTGACTTGGGCTGGCGTTGGATTTCTTAGTCTTGCTTCTTGCTCCAGGGCCCAGCACAGGCATGGTCCCGTGGTGCTAGCAGACATTCAAGGGGGTGTAGGAACAAGCAAAGGCCTGCCAAGCCTGCTTCTGTTGCATCAGCTAGAACTTACTGGGCAATGTTGAGGACCAGAGAAGGATACTCTGCCTTTGGACGTAAGGGGCAGAGAACGATGTTTGCCATCAAAGGCAGTGTTTGTTCCCACAACAGCAGGCAGCCAAGTGTCCTGAGCTCTAAGGCTGCCCCATTGTCCCAGAGCTGCCCTGTGCACGAACACAGCCCAGGCTGCCCTAGGTCCTTGGTTGCCTAAAGCAGGAAGGTCCCAAACAAGCTGGGACTCCTGGAGCCCTTGTGGCCGCCTGGGAGCTCAGGTGGGGTGTAGCTGTGCTGATGAGGGTGGGAAGACAGCTCAAGGGCTCCCGTGAGCCCTTGCACTCAGTGCAAGGGAGGAAGAGGTCGAACAGGCCATGACAGTGTGGCCCGGCTTCATCCTGCCCCCTCCCCTGTGGGACCTTGCCTGCCATGGGCAAGTCACCAGCAACAGCATCCCTGGCCCTTGCCCAGCACTGGGCACTTGATGGGACCCACGGAGAGTGGCAGTCTCATTTACCCTACTGACTGTCATCGTGATAATGATGCAGGAAGCGAGGAGGAGTCCTGGCCCAGCGCAGGCAGGAAAGGAAAAGCACTTCCCTTCCTTTGCGGACTGGGCCTCCTTCCCACATTATCCCTAAAGCCTAAATTACCCCTTCCCTCTTTCTCATCCAGCAAACTCCTACTGACACCTGAAAACCCTACTCATATCCACTCCACTTCACTGAGAAGCATACTGGCTTCTCTGTTTCTCTCTGTCAACTGTAAGCGCCTCGAGGCATGGACCACACACTGGGAACACCTGGACCCATCCGTCACTCTGCCTCAGTTTCCTCATGTGTAAAACTGAAAGAACAACTGTACCTATTTTATGGGGTTTTGTCCAACAAATCTGCATGAGCACCTCTGTGTGCCTGGTCTGGGTGTTCAGATACATAAATAAGACCAAATGATCCCGCTGTGGCTGGACTCGCCTGACACTCAGCAGTACTCGGGAAGTGATAGGCCCCTGTCTCCACCAGCCACAGCCTGGGCTGACAAGGGCTAGCATATTGAAACTATTGTGGCAAATCAGCTCCTCTTTCATCCAAACCCACGACCTTGACCTTAAGTGCCAGGGTGAGGCTCTGGCCTCCAGGGTAGCAGCCTCACCTGGAAAGGGATGGGCATGCTCTCCGAGCCCAGACTGAGCCCTGACTGCACCTCACCCTGGGCCGTGCCCCTCCCATAGAGAATGGAGGGTCCTAACACCTGTCCACCTGTGTGGGGAATTCACCACCTGCTGTTGGTCAAAACCCTGCCGAGACCAGAATTGCTGCGAAAGGGCTAATTTTTGTATCACCATCTGGAAAGTTAAGCCACATTAATCTGTCAAAGCAAGTTTTTGCTAAGAATACATTCTTGTCTGCAATTACGCAGCTCAGTGAGGAGATAACTTTTGTGAGACTTATGTTCTGGCCTTAAAGAAATAAGAAGAGGAGTGAACCGGCAAGTGTGTGGCTCCAGGCAGGCTTTCAGGGTGTCAGCACAAAGCAAATGGAGAACAGGGTACCTTGGGAGCCAGTGGGCCACCAAAGATGCCAAATGAGGGTTTCCTACCTGTGTGGAGGTGGCATCCATCCAGAAGGGGAAAATGCAGGGACTGGACAGGAACTGACTCCCAGGACCCACCTTCCTGTTGGTGTAGGTCACTTGGTCACACAGCTGCTCAGCACATGGGCAAACTGTGTGTGAGGGCTTGTTTCTCACCGTGAGATAGTTCTGCTTATGGCAGAAATGTATGAAGACAGATGAGTTCTGACTGTCCCACCACTAAGAAATGACAATAATTGGTGCCTTTCCTGACCATCTCACACTCTGAAGTCATCATGGGGCCCTGAGGCTGGCTGGATTTTCAGCTCCATTTTTATCTTCCTCTTGGGTCACAAATCTTTCCCCAGGCCCTCTGGCTGGCTTGAGTGGGGACGTCTCCTTCCAGCAATGGGGAAATGAGGGATGGTCCCACAGTTGAGTGGTTAGGGACATCTGTTCTACCATGGTAAATCTTCCCTGGAAAGTGGTTTTGAACCTGTTGGTATCTGGGATTCAGTAGAAACCCATGCACTTGGTCATCTTAATGATGAGCTGGTGATCCACATGGGTAAGGTATGGCCCCTTGCCTTCCATCCATCTCCAACAATTTGCTGGACACTTCTGTAGTGTGCCCACCAATTCCTGCATGCAGAAGGGGACAAGAAGGGGAACTCTGGGGATAGTGAGGGCCTCCTCCACCTCACAGCCTGCCATGCCTGCAGGTACCTGGGTTCACCTGGGTCAGGACCACTCAGCACTGACTCCTGGCTCCAGCCTGCCCTTGGGTCTCCAGCCCTCACCCTGGGCGGCCTCAGAGGACCCCTCCATTTCCACGCATACACCCTAAGGGGAGCCTGGCATGGCACAATGGGACCATAGAAAGGGCTGATGTCAGCCAGGAGACCAGCTGTGGGCTTAGACACTGCTGGCCCCACTGGCCCCCCAGTAGCCTGAGGGCACCAAGCAGGGCTGTGTCTTAGTGACATATGGTGACACACTGCTCTGGAATCTGTGATGTCCCCACCAAGGCTCCTTCTGGTCAGAACTTCCTTTTGAGCAGGGAAGGTCAGGCCTGCCATAGGTCACAGGGCTCCTGCCATTGCACCCCTCCTCTCTGTTTGGCCTGTGGGGTGGGTGGAAGCAGATGGCCATGTCTACCCTCAGGCCATGACTCCAGCTGCTAAGAAGTCAGGTATGACCCACATCTCTGGGTTTAAGTGGAGCCCCTGCATGGGGCTTCTCCTCCAGAGGACACAGGGACTGTGAGGCCCTGCATGGAGCTGGCCAAGTCCGGGATGCCTCGTGGTCCCCACGCCACTTGCACCACCCCAAGCTACCAGGCAGCAACTATTGGAGCTGTCCTTGTCCTTTCTGCCCTTTGCCCAAGAGTCAGCCTCAGCGCCTGCTTCTCACCCTCCATCCACTCCTCGAAGACACCTTTGGCCCTGCCTTCTCCCCACAAAGCCACAGGGTTGGCTCTGACTTTTGTAGGGTGCTTCTGGCCCATGCTGATCATGCTTTCCTCTCTCCTCCCCACAGCCGGACTGCCGCCTGCACCTGCACCTGCGCTGGGCAGACAACCCCTACGTGTCGGGCACCGTGCACACTAAGGACACTGCTCCTGGCCTCATCATGGGTGCAGGTGGGTGCCTTACAGCCTGCAGGAAGCTCCCTTTCCATGGCCGAAGATCGGTAGCCATGGATCGGATCATGGTGTGTCCAGTAGGGGAGTGCTACAGCCCCTTCATGTGACTCAGTTCCCCTGGAAAACTCTGAGGGTGAAGGTGCGATGAATATATGATCAATGTGTTGGTTGAGTGGATGGGTGGATGGATGGGTGGTTGGATGGATGGGTGGGTGGATGGATGGATGGATGGATGGATGGATGGGTGGATGGATGGGTGGATGGATGGATGGATGGGTGGATGGGTGGATGGATGGATGGATGGGTGGGTGGATGGATGGGTGGGTGGATGGATGGGTGGGTGGATGGATGGTGGATGGATGGGTGGATGGATGGGTGGATGGATGGATGGATGGATGGATGGGTGGGTGGATGGATGGGTGGATGGATGGGTGGATGGATGGGTGGATGGATGGATGGGTGGATGGATGGGTGGGTGGATGGATGGGTGGGTGGATGGATGGATGGGTGGATGGGTGGATGGATGGATGGGTGGATGGGTGGATGGATGGATGGATGGGTGGGTGGATGGATGGATGGATGGATGGGTGGATGGATGGATGGGTGGATGGATGGATGGATGGATGGGTGGGTGGATGGATGGGTGGGTGGATGGATGGATGGGTGGATGGGTGGATGGGTGGATGGGTGGGTGGGTGGATGGATGGGTGGGTGGATGGATGGGTGGGTGGATGGATGGATGGGTGGATGGGTGGATGGGTGGATGGGTGGATGGGTGGATGGATGGATGGATGGGTGGGTGGATGGATGGATGGATGGATGGGTGGATGGATGGATGGGTGGATGGGTGGATGGATGGATGGATGGATGGGTGGATGGATGGATGGGTGGATGGATGGGTGGGTGGATGGATGGGTGGGTGGATGGATGGATGGGTGGATGGGTGGATGGATGGATGGGTGGATGGGTGGATGGATGGATGGATGGGTGGATGGATGGATGGATGGATGGGTGGATGGATGGATGGGTGGATGGGTGGATGGATGGATGGATGGATGGGTGGATGGATGGATGGATGGATGGATGAGTGGATAGATGAATAGGTAGATGGAAGGGTGAATGCTTATATATAGATGGATGGGTAAATGTATAAATACAAGTAAATGGAGGGATAAGTGGATGGATGATGGGTGCTTGGATAGGTGGATGCACAGATGTACGTATGGACAGATGGATATATGGATGCATGGATGGATGGATATATGGATGGAAGAGTGGGTGGATGTGTGGCTGGGTAGATGCATGGATGGATGAGTAGATGATAAATCAAACACTCTGTGTCTGCTTAGAACTTACCTAAATCATGTATTTGAGGGCAATACATCCTCTGGAAGTTTCCAATGACATCTAGATTTGACTCTGAAAACAATATTTCTGTGAAGGTTGCATGAATAAGGCTTCACATAACAAGTTATGGTCCCCAGCACTGCAAAAACAGCAAACAAAAAACAAAAAACAGTGATAAGCAGTACACTCCCCTGACCTCTGGCACTCCATAAAAGTCCAGGGTGGCTTAAATATCATTGTTACATCACTGAGGAGGTGGACCCCTGGTCTCTGCCATGACCAGAGGGTGCAGTGGAGGCCAAGTTGAGTTCTTCAGAAAATCCCTTAGTTCCTGATCATTACAGAGTGCTGTAGACAGCAGGCCAGGTCCAACTCCTAAAGGGGCCATGACTGCCCTGTATTGCAACTTCACAGAACTGTGCTCTTATGGGTGGCCACTGTCCCTCTGTAGGAGCCCATTTGTGCTGGCTGCTCCTCTGTGAGATGGGGTTGACCTGGATCCTGGGTAGGAGCTCCTCCCATCTGACATTTCACTTGAGTCCCCTGAGAGTAGCCAGCAAGGCTGTACAGGGACTCAGGTGGGGGCCAAGACTGAGGTGCAGCCTAGCTGGCTCAGTGCCCTTCACCCCGTCCTTCTGAGCAGCCCCCAGCAGTGTCTGGTGACCTCCTGTCCTTCCACCTGCACATCCCAGGCTTCTTCCCTGGCCCTCCCCCCCCACCCCGTGCTCAGTCTCTGGGGAGTTATCTGCAAACGTAACCACCCATGTCCAGCCCTTTGGCTACCCCTGAGTCCAGGGCCCACCTGGCCGATGTCCTCTCCGGCACTTCCCTGACTACCGCACCACGCTTCTTACTCCTGAGTGATGCCCATGGATCTCCTGAAGGGCTCGAGATTCCATGGCTGGGTCCGCCTGGGTCTGGCTCTCTGGGCAAGGTTGAGCCTTCATTGCTCAGAGGGACAGGGCCCAAGCCCAGAAACCACATCAGGGACACTGTCAGAAGAGAAAGGTGGAGTGGGACAAAGACGGTTCTGATAGTGGAGATATAGGCCGAGGGCACGGGGAACCCTCATCAGGTTTTTCTGACCATGGTAAAGCGGGGGAAGTTGACTGAGCCCAACAGCAACACTGCCCCTCTTTCTTCTGGGCCAGGTAACCTGGGCTCGCAGCTGGTGGAGTATAAGGAAGAAATGTACATTACATCAGACTGCGGACACACCTGGCGGCAGGTAAGGTGGCAGAAGGTGCCTGGGCCCCATCCCACACCTGACACCATGGGACTCCAAGGTCAGGCACCTGTTCTGCCATCCCTTCCACTCCCAGGGACTCTGATCCAGGGTCCTCACTTTCCCACCAGCCTGAGTGGCCAGGCCAGGGTTCCCACAGCCAAGAGCAAGGAGCCAGCCCTGCGTGCGCTCAAGTGTCCTGTCATTCTGTGGCCACAGACAGGTGTTACAGATCTAAGAAGCACTTCCCATATTCAGATGTGTCACCGGGATATCTGAGGGAAGGGAATTGGGCAGGTGGAGGGCCCAGCCAGAGGCCAGGAGATGAGGCCACTGTGACCCCTAGGATCCAGCAGGGTGAATAGGTGACAAGGACATGAGGAAAAGCAAGCTGGAAGCCATGGGGAGCCCAGGACGAATCCCAGGGTGCTATGGCCCAAGATGAGGAAGGAAAGGAAAGGAAGAGAGAATGGGCAGGTGCCATCCTTCTCAGCAGCAAGACCCATGCCAGCTCCTCTGCTCCACGCAGCCCCTACACGGAGCCCCACATGAAGGTCAGAGGCCCAGGCTGGGAAGGACACTTGCTGCCAGTGTCCTGTAGGGCACAGGAATAGTGAGGTTGAGGAAGGCAGGGCTGCCACCTTGGTGGCAGGGCCAGGATCCCACTATCATGTCCCTCAGGAGGCCCCACCATGGGACACTTGCTGTCCTTCCAGAGGTGGGGAGGGACTCCTGGTCTGTCATCTTATCAGAGTGGCAATGTCTGCCTTACGAGTTGAGCATCCTTGTGCCTCCTCTGGACCACGAGTCTGCTCCCGGCTGTGCGCTCCAAGTAGGCCCCCTGGGATGCCCGGGACACCAGGACACACACTTGCTTGTGCCAAACCCACCAAACTCACCTGTACTGTGGCTGAGGTGTGGTGTCTCCTAGTAACACGCAAAAGAAAGGAATTTTGAAAAGGGCAGAAGAGATTTATTGTGTTATAATATTTCTATTCCACTGAAACTGGCAAAGTGTGACTGAGGTTCTTAAAGATTACTGACTATCCATTTCCCATGAGTCCCCACCAGGCCAGGCAGGCGGGGGGCAGCAGAAGTGCCCTCACTTTGTGGAAACCGATGGTCAGATACTCAGGGTGGTCCCTTGGTTTCACACTTGGGGGCATCAGAACCGACTGGGAGGATGTCTGTGCCGTGCAGAGCCAGGGCCTGGCTTTGCTCCTGTTCCCTGAGCTGGTGACAGTGGGGTGCAGGGTGCAGGGCGGGTGTCTGGGGAGCAGAAGTGGGGCCTCAGAGGTACTCATGTGTGCTCAGGTGTTCTCACTCATGTGTGCGTGTGTCAGGGCAGGGAGAGAGACCATACTGGGTCTGAGGGTTTGTCCAGGAAGAGTGGCTGTCCTGGCAGAGGACAGAGTGGCCAAGGCACAGAAGGCAGGCAGTGAACTCAGAGGCCTTTCTATCCTGGCCAGAGGGGCAGGGACGTGTCAAGATGTGCCAGAGAGTGGCTGAGAACGTCGGTGACAAAGGGCAGAGTCCACATAATCTTTAACAACGGGAGCTCCCTAACTCACAATGGGAGTCACAGAGGACATCCAGGGGCCCGGGGGACTCGGAGGAGAGGAAAGAGGGAAAGGACCCACTGAGGCACAGAGAGCCCCAGCCGTGGTGTGGCAGACTCTGCAATCCTGCTGGTAGGGTTTAGAAGACCCCAGGGCCTCCTTTTCCCTGAAACTAAAGCACCTGGGAGTGAAGGTTCTTTTTCAGGGGCCCCTGGGGTGGCTCCTCAGCACCCCTTCCATCTTCCCGATGGGCAGATGTGACAAGGCCCCCGGCCTGTCCTGGAGGGAGGAAAGTGTGGGACCAGTGTCCAAGTCCTTGTGCTGGAGTCCTGGTGGTCCACATGGTCAGTTCTCTCCCCAGAGGGAAGACAGACTCCAGAGCGCTCGGGCTGAGACCCGGGCCCAGCTCCTCAGCAGCTGGTCTCCCCCAGATCCTGAAAGGCTGCTGAGCAGGCCCTGTGGGCAGAAGCATGGCTTCTCTCCAGGACGACAGGGCTTTGAGGAGCCCACGCGTGGGGAGGGGAGGAGGACATGGGCTATGAACTGCCTCAGAGGTGGCCTCTCGGGACGCAGTGCAGCTCCAGCCACCCAGGGGTCCAGTGCGCACATTCTTGGTGAGGGACCCAGCTCTGGAGTGCAAGAAGCTTGCTATTTCTGGGAGGAGAAGGCCTTTGCTTGGGACCTCAACGTCCTTAAGCACTGTGGCCCCCGTCCTGCTGCTCTCCACTTAGATTTTCTCACCTCCTCCCCCTGTGAGCCTCTCTCAGGGCTGCCTGCTCGCTCTAGTTGGAGTTTCACTGGAATGCGACATATCTGTCCCAAAAACTGGCCGGGATCCTGCGCTGTGGCAGGACCAGTACTGAGCACGGGGCTGAAAATGGATGATGACAGGGCCCCACTATCATCCATTCTGTTTTACTACAAGTGGATCCTGGAGTCAAGTGACTTTATAAAGAAAAAAGGTTTATTCGGCTCTCAACTGGGCTCTGGTGGGGACCTCACGGCAGATGGTTGAATGTGAGCGAAATCTCACTGACAAACAGGATTCTAGAGAGTCATGCAGGGCTCAGGCTACTCTTTAAAAAACTCACTCTCAAGAGAGCCCCTGGGTCCCCCAGGTCACCTTAGTCCCTTCCTAGGGTTGGGCCTCCAGTGACCTGCAGTGCACAAGGCCCCCGCCTTGAAGGCTCCACACCATCTCCTAGCACCCCACCCAGTGGGGACCAAGCTTCCAACACACAGACCCTTGGGGGACAAGACGCACAGGAACCACAGCAGTGCCATTCCCTGGCGTGGCCATGGTTGGGTAGTCTCTGTGCAGATGGTGGCATCCTTGCAGTCTATCCCTGTGCTGTGCATTCTTGAGGGCCAGGCCTGCATCTGTCCCAGCACCCCAACAAAGAGGAGCTGCCACACTGGATCTGCTGGATGGATGGAAAGTAGGGAGAGAATTGTGTAAAATTATTCCTCATCTGCATCTGTGACACCCTAAAATCTGTTGGTCATCACCTCCCATGTCCAGGAAACTCTATCTCTGTTAATCTAGCCTGAAGCAGCGTTTGGCACAGAGCACACTGGGCACACTGGCTTTTCTGTCCCCCCTGCAGACGGCCAGGGAGCCAGCGAGAACACCCAGGCTTCAGTTATATCGAGGGACTTCTCCATTAATGCCTAGAGCCCCCACTCCAACCTGTGACTTGTCACTCCCAAGACAAGCCCTGATGCTAAGTGTGTCCCTGCTCGTGATGAGGGAGGCACACTTGTGGAAGGAGCAGGGATTGGGGTCAGAGACCTGGGGTCTGTCAGCTACCAGCTGTGTGGCCTCAGGCAAGTCACTGAGTGTCTCTGTACCTCGGCTGTCTGTGGAAAGTGGTGGATGGCCCCTCAGTGCAGCTGCCATTAAGGAAGACGCTGTACCCAGCAGTAGCGGCCACCAGGCTGGCTCTGCCTGTCCTCCCCTCGCCCCACTTGCACGCAGGGTTGAAAGTGCAGCTCACAGATCCCAGCCCTGGCAGGCCTGGGCAGAGTTGGTCACATCTCCAGAGCACCTGGAGCCAGCCTCACCTGACCACGTCTCTAGTGTGAAGTCCCTGCCCTATCCTGCAGCCCATCACCCCAGCAGAGAGGTGCCCTGGACCTGAAGACCCCCACAGTAGACAGGAAGGGGGGAGGGAGCAGGGCTTGGGGACACATTCCTTACGCTCCACCACTTTCCATAAGGGGCCTGAGCCACACGTGCTCATGGAGAATGTCTATAAGCAGTGGGAAATGACAGCGAGATTGCAGTAACAACACAGAGAAATCTGGGGTGTACTTGGGCCTGGAAGCAGCATTTGCAAAGGTCCTGGGGCACATTCAGACAAGAAGCCAGAGTGGCTGGTGGGGAGAGGATGGGAAACCAGTGGGTGGAGATTGTTCCTGCAGTCCTGAAAGCAGGGAAGAATTTGGACTTGATTCTGAGGACTTTAGGGGCCACTGGAAGATTCTTTGGGGTGGGGTGGGGGTGGGACAAACCGGACACCTGGAGATCTTGGCCTGGAGGCCCGTGCTAACTGTGGAAGCTCCGTGCTGCTGAGATGTGGGGCTCTGCCCAGAGCCCTCCCCGGTGGCTGCTTCTGGCTCTGTTCAAAGTCAGACGGAGACGGCAGGGGCAGAGGAGGGGTGGCCACGCTTTTCTGTGTCACTCCCCCTGCTGTCATGTTACCAGGACCACCCTCCCTGGAGCCGAGGGCGTTCCTGCTCTGGCGGGCAGGTGCACACTTAGCCCCATGGGTCACCCCGCCACCCTGGAGCGGGGGCTGCATCTATATCTCCAGTACTGTGCACAGTGTCCATCCCTTGCTGGCCCAGGGGCGGCCTCCCCGTGTCACAAGGCTGGCACTGGCAGAAATACCCACTGTTCACCGCCCACAGAGGGCTCAGCCAGGCCCTCTGTTCCCGGAGAGACCCGAGGATGCTGACACGCAGGAGGGGAGACGCTGGTGGCTCTTCTGACCCTTCTGAGCCCCGAGTTCCTCTGTAGGCCTTGGATCTACAGAGGGCATGGTGGAAGTGTGTTGGGTCATTCCTGGAGGAGAGGTGGGGACCAAGTGGCCCAGGACACTGGACCACTCACTAGGTGACATCTGGAGCCACATGTGCATGTCCACTGAAAAGCCAGCAGGCCCCGGTATCCGTCTGTGACCTAGGGGTCATGCCTGGCCCCACCACTCCTAGATCTGAGGCCTTAGCTTGTCCTCTTGGCTTTCACCCTCTGTGTCCTCTTCTGGGAAATGGGGCCTCACTCCAGGGTGCTGGCAGACAAGTGACACCAACACAGGTGTCACTCTAGGGCAGGCCCTGTTGTCGCCCTGAAGCTCAGAGGCCATTCATCCATTGCACACACTGCCAGGCTCTGAGCTGAGCCGTGAGGGGCACAGAGAGAGCTGGGGACAGCCTGCCTTCCAGGGGCTCCCTGGCTGGAGGAGACAGTGACAGATGATGGCCAGAAGTGGTCAAGCTGGGCTGTGGAGCCAGAAGCAGCCCCTGGGTCAGAGGTCATCCTGGAGCAGGCTGCTGGAGCTGCTCCCCACTCCAAATTGGGGTTTGTGTCCCCTGGCGCTCATCCCGGGCGCGTCTTAAACCCACTGCGTCTTCCTGTCTTCGGGCTGGCCGAAGTTTCCCACGCAGGCAGGACGGTGCTCAGCGTCCATTCGAGGTTTTCTCCCTCACGTCCAGGGTCTGAACATTGATGCTTATTCTCTGCTCCTCCTGTGTGTGCTGAGTTGGGCAGAGGGGAGGCTTGGGGTGCAGGAGCCCTGGGCCTGGCTCTGCTGTGTCCCCAGTCTGTCATTTACCCCCTGCCCTTCCCTGAGGCCACCAGCCACCAGGCCCCCCTTCAGCACGCGCTCCGCCCACAGGTGTTTGAGGAGGAGCACCACGTGCTCTACTTGGACCACGGTGGGGTGATCGCAGCCATCAAGGACACCTCTATCCCCCTCAAGGTCCTCAAGTGAGTCTGGGGCCCGGGCAGGGCAGGCAGGTGTGGGAAGTGGGCGCAGAAGTCCCCAGAACACCTTCCCTGGGTATCCATACCTCACACCTCCCCAAGGGGGTCCTAGAGATGGACTGCTCTGCCTGTGGGAGGGAGCAAACAAGCAACAACCACAAGGCGAGGAAGGGGTAAAACAGCTTGGCCTGGGGGAGCAGGGAAGGCTTCCCAGAGAAGACAACTCAGCATCAACAGGGCTCAGCTGGTGGAGGGCTGAGACCAAGGTGACCAGACAATGGAGCCAGCAGTGTGTGTCCAGGTGAGAGTGGTTTGGCAGCTCTTTCGAAGGCTCATAGGGGACCAGAGAGCAGGATGACCTTGGGATCTGAAGAGCAGAGCTGGGGAAGCTGCCAGGAAGCCTGTATCACTTTAGTCTGAAAAAGAGCTTTATAGATTGGGAGCTTTATCCACTGAACTGTGCTGCAGGGGGCAGAAGGTCCTGGACCCAGGGCATGTTCATGCCACCCAAAGGACGCTTACGTCCCCTCTTATGCACAGGTTCAGCGTGGACGAAGGCCTCACCTGGAGCACACACAACTTCACCAGCACCTCAGTGTTCGTGGACGGGCTCCTGAGTGAGCCGGGGGACGAGACACTGGTCATGACGTGAGTGCACAGCTGGATAGCTGGCTGGCGGGGGGTGGCACAGGTCACAGCTGACCTCTGTGTGGGCTCTCAGCCTTGGAGTTCTGTGGCTGTTCAGGTTCGAACTCCTTCGTCCTTGTCCTAGGGTAGAGGCTCCTGATGCCTCCATTTTCTCCACCCTCCCAGCCAGGGTGGGTCCCAGGGTGTCCCCTGGCATTCGTGGGAGGCTAGATGAATGCCAATCTGAGCACCCCTGGCCACCAGGTGGAGCATGGAGTGCAGCCTCAGAAATCCCCCCACCAACCCGGTCCCCATCACACTCACCTCCTCAGCCAACTCCCAAACAGCACTATCTTCTCTGCTAAAAAGTAGAGAAAACTGAGGCTCAGGGGGACAGGCCTCAGCCAAGGTCAGGCAAGTAGGGCTGAGTCCAGCTCAGACTGGCGCTCCCTAGCCAGCTGTGGGCAGCAGCTGTCCTCCTGAGCAGCTGGGGCTGAGCAGAGCAAGGATGTGAGCTCAGGGGGCCCCAGAGAACAGCTCTGTCCCTCCCAGGACTCCTTCGCCCTGCCCATTCTCCAACCTGCATTTATTGGGCACCTACTGTGTGCAGATGCTGTTTGAGGTCCCAGGAGAGTGTTGATAACAGCACAGTGCAAGCTTGCATTGGGAACGTCCAATGGTGGAGAACAGGGATTTGTCCTCAGTGGGAGCCAGCATGTCTTCCCACTCCTGGCAGGAGAGATAGGGCTGGACAGGCCACTGTCTTAAATAGAAAGACACCGTCAGCAAGACCCCAAGAGTGATTCCACCCAGACCAGAGCAGGTGGGCACCAGGCTTGGTAAAAGGACCAGGGAGCGAGCCTGGACCCTCTCTGGCTCACGAGATGAGAGGGTCAGCAGTGGTCTAGATTCTTGCTGTCTTGATATCAGTCCTGTCCCAGAGGGCCCATCCTGCCCCAAGATCTGGGGCCCTTGCCCCTCACCCCTTCAAGGGTCTCATCCCTGCCAGGCTCTGAACCCGATGTGCTGCTTTGCTCGTGACCCTGACCCTTTCTGACTCAGGATGGAGTCTCTGCTGCCTCACTAACGTGTCCTGGCCTGGCGGTGCCTGGCATGCAGTAGGTGCTTGGTGAATGGTTTCAGTGAAAGCACAGCAGGCTGTCTGGTGACACTGGTGCAGGAACAAAACAACTATTCAAAGCATGAGAACCTCACTGGTGGCCCAGAGGCGAGGCCCTGCAGCTCCCCAGTGGCACTGAGGGATCTGCCCATCACAAGGGGTGTCGCCTTGTGAGGTGTGGTCCATGCCACACACTAGTGTGTGCTCAGGATTGCTCAGGGGCACTCTGGTAGCCTGACCTCCCAGTGGCCTGGGAATGACTGTGTCCACAGTCCAACAGGTGGCCTCCCTTGGAGGCTATGGTCTGAGACAGTAGGGAATGCCCCTCACCTTTTCCTGAGGTCAGAAGGAGGTCTTAGCAGAGGTGAGGAGAGGCTGCTGTGTCTGACTGTAGCCTGGTAGTGGGGGGAGAGTGGGACCCAGTCTGCTCCACCTGCAAGACTGAGTGGTTTGTGGATTGGGGTCCTCAGCAGGAGGGAACACTGGTAATACAGGGTGACGCTGGCCTCACTGGGCACACAGAGCTCCAGCGAGTCAGCTGCTTCCAGGCTCAGTTTCCTCAACCGACATGGGGCACTTTCTGCCCCAAGCATGGCCTGGGCTGCATTCCATAGGTGCTTGGGGCGCCAAGCCCTTCATGCCAACTTCAAGGCAGGGCCCCAGAAACAGCCTCTTTCATCTCCCATCGCAGCCGGGCATCTTTGTCCACACCGTAATAGCAGAATTCACAGCCAGGTGCCACACCGTTTTAAGTTTTCCTGAAAGCATCAGAGCGCTTCCTACAGAGCTGTTTCACAGTGCTGCGTCTTCAAACGGTTCTCCAATTCCCGTCACCACAGAAGTAATTCAAGCTGCAAAAGACGGCCCGTGCCGGCACACCGGAATGAAAGCACATTCTCTCTCTCTCTCTCTCTTCCCCCCCCTCTCTCTCTTTCTCTCTCTCTCTCTCCCCCGCCACCCCCTTTCTTACACAGCTGAGAGCATTTGCTCACATGATTTCCTTGTCCTAATCTGCCCAAAGGTCACTTCCAAGCTGACCACAGTCGCCTCTCAGGTCGTTGCTCACCATTGCCCTCTGCCTTCCACCAGCTCAGTGTCAAAGTGGCGAGGAGTCCAAAGGCACCAGGGTCTGGCTCTAGGGTAGGGAGGGGACTCCTTTTAGGACAGTGACCTGTCAAAGGCAGTGGTTTCCTGCCCAACCTCCACGACATGGCCCAGGTCCTCCTGCTCACTGTAAAGCCATCAATGGGCCCCTCCGGTCTCTTCTGTTAAGCCCAGGGCTTGACCAGATGGCAGGTATTTCACACAGCCTGAGTTGAGGCCTGGGATTCATAAAAGGCAGGACGTGAGACGCGGAGAGGGGATTGACAGATCAGCAAGACTGGCCTCTCTTCTCTGTCCAGGCTCAGAACATAGAACACAAGAAAAACAGGCATCTAGAGGGGCCCTGCGGCCAGCAGGAAGCTGCTGGGTCAGCGCTGGCCATGTTTCCTGGGCTGAGCCCCCAGCTGCAGATCTGCCAGCCCCAGATTCCAATGCTGGCTCCTCAGGATGGCCTGTGGCACTGCCCTTGTGGTGGGTCCCTGCCTCAGTCTCAGTTTCCCTCTGTAAAATGGGAACGTTGTTGATGTATAAGGGAGAGGATGGGCCTTGGGCACACACCCACACACAGTAGGTGCTTGTGTACATCAGCAGAATGCCATCGCCTGCAGGAGAGCCAGCCAAGGTTGTGAGGATTAACTCAGGGGTCCAAGTGTCCCCTTAAAGTGTTCTCTAAGTGACACAGAAGGACAGCATTGGAAGAAAATTCTGTGTGTTGATCCTTCCAGCTGAGGGCTGTTGACCTGAGGATACGTGGTTAGTAGGACGTCCATCTGCATCACAGGCACCCTGGGCCAAGGCCTCCCCACAGCCATGGCTACCACCTAGGCCCTCAACTGGGAAAGGCATCTGTAAAAGCAGCTGGATGGGCAAACGCCAGGCTTGGGGACGTCAGTCTCGGGCCACCAGGCTGAGTGCATATAGCTTTTAAATGCTGCAGTTGCTCCTAGCAGGGCTAGCCGTCCATCTGGACCCACGGGACTGTCACTCCAACCCTTCTTATCCTGCTGCCCTGAGCTGTACGATGACTGTCCTTTCTCTGTGGACTGCCACAGAGAACTCCCTAGTTCTGCCGGGAGTGAACGCCTGAGGTCCACCGGAGAGAGCTGGGCTTCTGTGGCATGGACCCTGGCAGTGGAGGGAGGCTGGGGGAAAGGCAGGGAGAAGCCGGGCAGCGCCAGATGCAGCCCTGTCCGTGAACTGTTCTGCAGACCATAGCACAAGGCCCAGCCTGGGTGAGCGGAGCTGTGGAAGTGCCCTGGTGGTAGCTAGGAGGCCAAGGCTGCTGTCCACGCCTCGGCCCTGCTCCCGTCGGTCAAGGGGAGCCATGTGTCAGTTAGACAGCCCACACCAGGGCAATCTACAAGCCACCAAGAGTGGTCAGTGTGGGGAAGCCAACGCCAGGTGGCCAGCGCCTGCTGTGGGCCTGTCCTGTCACTCTAGCCCCAATAGGTAGGGGCAGCATCGTGGGCTATGGTATGGGGACCTGAGCTGGGAAGGTGATATCTGCACAGCGGGGATGGGGCCGGTCTAAGGCGGTGTTCCGTCCCCTCTCTCCCCAGGGTCTTCGGCCACATCAGCTTCCGTTCCGACTGGGAGCTGGTCAAGGTCGACTTCCGGCCCTCCTTCCCTCGGCAGTGCAGTGAGGACGACTACAGCTCCTGGGACCTCACCAACCTCCAGGTGGGCCAGGATGCACCGGCAAGAGCCCCCACAAGCCTGCAACCCTTCTCTCCAGGGACCCTTCCCAGATGCCCACTCTGGTCTGTCCACCCTCCTGGGGGATTTTCCAGCCTGCAGCTGCTCTGGACTGATGGTGTCTGGTCACACAAGGCTGCAGGTCCATCCAGAGGTCCCCTTTCCCTCCTCTTAACCCAGGGAATCCAGGGTCCAGGGCTTCTGGGCTCTTAGAAAGGCACCATGTGCACACACCATACACTACAGCGGGGCCTGCAGCCCGCCACAGACTTGTGAGATCGCACTAGGGAATAGATGGGGACTACTGACAGCCGCGTCAGTTCCCACTGTGTGGTGATGGAGGCTGGCATGCCAGTGTGGGGCCTGGAATGGTGGGTGGGCTGCTAAAGAAAAATGATCAGAAGATGACTTAATTCCAGATCAGTGCCAGGGTGGAGGGTCCGCCACAGGTTCTGGCAGTGGGAAGTTTGGGCTCAGCGGAGAGAGCATTTGTGCTAACAGCAGGAGGGTTGGAGGCTGGAAAGTCACAAGGAGGAGACATCTGGGGTGAGGGATTGTGGTTAGGCATCAGCAAGACTCCAGCTGAAGACAGGCTGGGGGACCGAACATCTCCTGGGGAAGGTGGAGGACGGGACCCATAGACATGGAGGGTGTTGCCTAAGGATGGTAGGGTTCATTCGGCCGGACTCTTTCTTGAAACTGGTTTATGAGGAAGTACATCAATGGACCAGGGAAGGTTCTGGAGCTTGCTCCAGTTTGGCTAGAGTCTCTGCCATCCCTGTGCCTGTCACTGCCACAGAGCTGCCACAGGGAGCAGGGCAGGTCAGGGCAGCTCTGAGGACTCCCAAGGACCTGCTATGAGTCCACACAGGCCCTCAGGCTGTGACTTGACACCCTGCACAGTCCTGATGCCCTCAGGGCCTGGGGGCACAAGGGAGAACTTACAAGTGCCACATGTCCAGCAGTTCTGTGACCCCTCAGGACCTAGCCAGGGCTTGTACACAGTAGGTGCGCAATGAGAGCTTGTGGGTTGGGAAGAGGAGGGTTCTTGACCTCAGACTTGCCAAGTCCCCCTCTGGGTCTCAGTTTCCCATCTGTAAACAGGGACAAGCCCTACCCCAGCTTCTGCCCAGGCAGGGTGGGCAGGACAGGCTGACAGAGAACTGGCCCCCTCCTGGGCTGGCTCCTCAGCCTAGCTTTCTTGTTACAGGGTGACCGCTGCATTATGGGCCAGCAGAGGAGTTTCCAGAAGAGAAAGCCCACGTCTTGGTGTGTCAAGGGGAAGAGCTTCACGTCTGCACTCACATCACGTGTGTGCCAGTGCCGGGACTCGGACTTCCTCTGGTGAGCTCACCTGCTGCCATGGCAGAGGCCAGTGTCCTTCCCAGCCTGGTCTCTAGTCACACAGGGCCATCCCCGCCTTATACTGTCTTAGATCCCTGTCCCTGAGCCCAGCTCACCCTTCCGAAAAGGAGCAGTAAGAACTGGGAGCTGGTTTTCTAACTGGCACAGGACCTGCTTGCAGGCAGTGGGAGGAGGGGAGGAAAGGGCAGGGCATTGCAGGGGCAGGCTGCACCCTCTCCCCAGCCCTTAGTGTCTTCTTCTTCTCTCTAGCGACATTGCCGAGCGTCACTGGTCACTCCCCTGCACAGCTCAAAAGCCTCCTCGGCTCCCAACTGCCCATTGGACAATATGGCTGAAGGCCTCTGCCCCTACCCGCCTGCCTCTCCTTGCCCTCTCCATCCTGTACAGCTCCTCTCTGTTCCCCTGCCTACTTGTCTCCTGCTCATCCTTTGAGATGTCACTTGCCTCCCCCAGGAAACCCTCCAGGCTCCTCCAAGCTCAGCTGTATCTTCCCTTTGCACCTCTCCTCACTCTGGACTGTAACCGTCACACTCTGCCCTGCGTCTGCTTAGGGACAGGCCTGTGAGTCCATCTCTGCATCCCCACAGACAGGAGCATCAAAGGCCCTTGGCCCCATGTTCCCTTGCTAGCCCCCACTCTGGCTGTGTGTGGTCCCATCTGTGCCTGTCACCTGACTGCTGTCCTTTCCTTCTCCTAGCGACTACGGGTTTGAGCGCTCACCCTCCTCAGAGTCTGCTGCCAACAAGTGTTCTGCCAACTTCTGGTTTAACCCCTTGTCCCCTCCTGAGGACTGTGCCCTGGGCCAAACCTACACCAGCAGCCTTGGGTGAGTGAAGGTGCAGCCTTATCTGCCCAACTTCTGGGGCAGAGCCAAGGGACCCCCACACCACACCTTCCGTCCCCAGCCTACAGTTCCAGGTGGTGTCAGAAAGGAAAGCCACAGCTGTGTGTGCTGTGCTCATGGGTTTGTGATGCTCCTGGGAGTCGCCGGACTCCCAGGCCATGGGTGTCCATTGAACCCCTGGGCCAGTGTCAGTGGAGAACTGCCTTGACTTGGCTCTGAGGGGTGCACAAGGGACAGGAAAGGTCCACATGCCCCAGGCCTCACACCTGCTGCAGAGGCCAAGCCTACCCAGAGGAGCCATGCCCCTGCCCTGTCCTTCTGAGCCTCTGCACCCCAGGACATCCCCATGCACCCACACCAAGCCAGCCGCACCCCTGGTGGACGCTGGAGGTGCTCCTGGTACCTGCTCTCAGCTTAAATGGCACTTCCTTCAGGAAGTCTTTCCAGACCACCCTCTCCTGACCCCCTACTTCATAGCCCAAATCTCAGTCATTGTCACTTCACCTATTGACCTTCCTGCTGGGCTGTAAGCTCCCCACAGAGCAGGTGTTCCTTCAGTATGTGGTGTGACAAGTAAGGGCCATGTAGGAGGGGAAGTGGCACCTGTGCCCCTGTCCTCCACCAGGGGCAGAGTGCACTGCTTCTGAAGTATTAACATCAGGTAGAAATACAAGGTACATAGTGCTTCAGCTTCTGCAGGCCCTGATGTGCTCCACCTGAAGGTCCCATTTCCTCGATTCACTGAGGAAATTGCTATGGCTTCCCTGGGGGAAATGGGAGGACCAGAAATTGCTGGCTTGGGCCTCAGCAGCAAATATTCTGCCATCCATTCACTTGCTGCTCCAACTCTACCCCTCCATCCATCTACCTATGCACACATCATCTTCCACCTATTCATCCAGCCACCTACTCACCCAAGCAACCATCTGCCCATTCATCCATCACCTGGCTCTCCAACCATCCACCTATTCACCTAGCCATGTACCCATCCATCCATCCACTCACCCATCCATCCACCTGTCCATTCATCCATCCATCCATCCATCCATCCATCCATCCATCCATCCATCCACTCACCCATCCATCCACCTGTCCATCCATCCATCCATCCACTCACCCATCCATCCACCTGTCCATTCATCCATCCATCCACTCACCCATCCATCCACCTGTCCATCCATCCATCCATCCATCCACCATCCACTCACCCATCCATCCACCTGTCCATCCATCCATCCATCCACTCACCCATCCATCCACCTGTCCATTCATCCATCCATCCATCCATCCATCCACTCACCCATCCATCCACCTGTCCATCCATCCATCCATCCACTCACCCATCCATCCACCTGTCCATCCATCCATCCATCCATTCACCCATCCATCCACCTGTCCATCCATCCATCCATCCATCCATCCATCCATCCATCCATCCACTCACCCATCCATCCACCTGTCCATCCATCCATCCATCCACTCACCCATCCATCCACCTGTCCATTCATCCATCCATCCACTCACCCATCCATCCACCTGTCCATTCATCCATCCATCCACTCATCCATCCATCCACCTGTCCATCCATCCATCCATCCCCATCCATCCATGCATGCATCTTCTTCCCACATATCATCCAACCACCTACTCACCCAAGCAACCAACTACTCACTTATTCATCCCTCACCTAACTCTCTAGCCATCCACCTATCCACCTAGCCATGTACCCATCCATCCCTCCCCATCCATCCATCCATCCATCCATCCATCCACCCATCCACCCATCCACCCATCTGACACCTGCAGTACCCTCTCTAGCACATCCACCAGGACTTGGCAAGCAGGGACTCTTTTTGTGATGTGTTAGCCAGGACTTGTACCCAGTGAAAGGATTTCATTTCAAGCCCCCTGCACACTGTAGGCACAGAGGTGGTGTGGACAGGCAGCTCTTAGAAAAGTGTATTTTCTTCCAACCACTGATCACATGGTCTTTGCATGATAAACTTCTGAATGGTCACTCCGTGGCTGAGATGCCCAGAATACTCAAGCCCTGAGGTCAGGAGTGGCACCAGCCATGGAAGGCAGACACCCAAGCACTGTCCAGGAATACTGGCTTCACAGACTCAGCATACCTGTGTAGTCTCAGAGTTTCACAAGCTAGATGATGCCAGCTGTGCAGGGGCTTGCAGCGGTCTCCTAATATTTCCCCAGGGCCTATCAGGCTCTGCCCACCAGTGGCTGTTTAGCCTCATCCCACCTGCTGCCATGTCTGGGCTCCAGCCACCCACCACAGGACCTTTGCATATGATATTTCCATTGCCTGTGGTGTGCTTCCTCTCCTTGTCATCTCCCAATCTCAGCTGAAAGCACCATTCTCAGGGATGAGGCCCCCGTCCCCCCCCTTCCAGCACCGTCACAGCTGTGATTCAGCATTGATGGGGAGGTTTTGGTCAGGTCTGCCCCTCCCACTAGATGATCTGCTCCTTAAGAACTGGGCCACGTGCAGTCGCCCCCATTCCAGGGCTGAGCACAGACAGACAGTCAGTAGAGAAGGTCACGTGGATGAGTTGATGAGTCTGGAAACATCAAGTCAAGCTCTCCCAAGGGAAAAGGGAGACAGGGCCCCGAGAGGAGCAGCCGGTTTGCTCATGACCACACAGGGTCCAGGGCAAGGCCAAGGTTGGAGCCCAGTCACTCTCAGAGAGTCTGTCCTCCACGTTTCTCAGCAAGACCACAGAATTCAGACAGGCTTCTTCAATCACAGTGTCTGTTATTATTACCATTGAAATGTGAGCAGACCAAGAAAATGTCGGTTCTCTGAAGCCGATGCTGCCGTGCTACCAGTCACTCCCTCCTGAGCCTCAGTGTTCTCACCTCTGAAATGGGCAGAGCCAGCCATCAGGTGTGGGGGAGTCAATGGAGCCTCAGCGTTCAGAGCCTGGAACCATCTCTGGGGATGAGCACATCCTGCCCCTCCCGTGAAGCCTGTGTGGTGTGACCTTGGCCCTCTCTTGCCCACCCAGGTACCGGAAGGTGGTGTCCAATGTGTGTGAAGGTGGTGTGGACCTGCAGCAGAGCCCTGTGCAGCTTCAGTGTCCCCTCACACCACCCCGGGGCCTGCAGGTGAGCCTCCGTGGTGAGGCGGTGGCCGTGCGGCCCGGAGAGGACGTGCTATTTGTGGTGCGGCAGGAGCAGGTGAGTGGCCCCAGGCTGCCACCTGACACGGCAGCTCCACTTATGCACGGGGGAAGGGGACACCTCCATAGCGGCCAACTGCCCCAAAGGGCAGGAGGGACAGTGGCTGGAAGTCAGCCTCCTGGGTCCTGATCAGCATTTGAGATGACACAGACACAGACTGTGGAGGAGTGGAGGGAGAGGGAGGGCGTCAGACAGCATGGCCCCTGCACCACATGTGCGTGTGTGTGCGTGAGCGCACGCACCTGCGTTTACCCAACTGTGACGTAAAATTGATTGATTCAGTCCCGTAGGCCGCAGCAGATCTCAGCCTCTTCAGTTAATTTGGAATCCTAACAAAAGCATAAAGTTTTAAAAAACCTATTATTTACAATCACACAATCCAACATAATCCTGTGCGTATATGTGGATAGAAATATAAATGTAGTTTATGCATTCCGCACTCACAAGTATACATGTGTGTGGAATTTCCTCCCAGCCCCCCACTCTCTCTATTTTTACTTTAGAACAAGTGTTGTATTTTCTTCTGATTTTAAAAGTAATGTGTGCTCATTGTAGAATATTTCAGAAATGCATAAAAATGTAGATCAATATTACCAAAAATCCTGCTCCCCTGAGCAGCCCCCAATTTTTGTATTTCCTTCTAATCTTTTAAAATTAATCAGAAATAACTAATGCTCACTGTGGGAAATTAAAAAATGAAATTAGAAGAAACTTACAAATGTGCAGAAAACACTAAGGTGCAGACGGCACAGAGGGGAGCGAGGGTCACCTGTGTCCCCAGGACTCAGGCTCCTGCCCAGACTCACAGCTGGGCATTCAGACCTTCAACTACCAAATACGAGTGTATCACACGATTATGTGTGCTTTATTTACGTGTCCTTCAAGATATGGTGCCATGGCAGATTGGTGATAATGAAGGTCCTAGTGTTGGAAAGCAGGGACTCTGTCCTTCTGCAAACAGGGAAACTGAGGCTGAGGACGCAGACCTGTGCACGCACGTCGGGCACTAAAGTGTAAACACAGCCATTTCCTTTACTCCTGGAGCACCACACACTGTGTGCTCTTGTCCACCTGCTTGATAGGTGGGGACTCGGGCTTGGACAGGCAAAGTCACTTGAAGACCCACAGTAACAAGAGGGAGAGGTGGCAATGGGCCCGAGGACTTGGGACTCAGTCTGTGGCCCCCAGATCTGAGCTCTCCCCTGCCTGTGATCCCCACCTGTCCAAGACCCCTTGTTGTTTGGGCTTGCCAGGAGATTCACACTCGAGCCGTCCAGCCTCACAGTGGGGCTGGACGTCTCTGTTCACAGCAGCGTCTTGGGGTGGCAAGAGGACAAAGTCCCCTACTCAGCCTGGGGCCCCATGGACCCTCAGAGAGAACTCAGCTGAGACTCCCAAGTTCCAGGACAGACTGCCAGGAAACCTAGCCCTCTGCTGCCCCCTAGAGCCTGGAATCTGGCAATTGCTTCTCCTACCTGGAGCCTTGGCTGGTAGAGCCTTGTCAGCCCCAAAGCCAAGCTGTCCCACACCAGGGGACCGGACCCAAGACACTGCACCTGAACTGGGACCCCTACCAGGAGCTGCTCTGCAGGCATCATGGGCAGGGGTGGGGCGGTGGAAAGCGATGAGAGGATGAATCCAAAGACACTCTTGGAAGAGGGAATCCTGGGTCAGCCTAGGCCTGGGACAAGCCACCAGTTTCCTTGTGGAATGGGTGCAAGGGAGAGGAGACACACTCACACATTTGCACACCAACTCACACACTGGTCCACATGCATACACACATGTTCACCCATGTTCACACTCCCTGACACACTCACAGACACAGTTGTGTACCACACACACACATGGCCACATGCCCACTCTCATACACAGGCCAAGTTGTACAGGGAACAGCTGGATTTAGGAGTCCACATTTTGTCAGTAATGTCTGGTGGAGGACCCAGAAGGAGGCCATGTACACACAGGGTCTTCACACAGGGAGAGAATGTCTGCTGGGGGAGGGGTAGCTTCCCTACGCAGTGACCAACCTCTTCCAGAACTCACAGTTGTGTACCGTGAAGTCACAATGGATCTCACGTCTAAGTGGAAGCAGAAAACTGTACAACTTTTAGAAACAGCACCTGCAAACCCTGGCGATGCATCCAGGAGTCCTTAGATGGGTGGCGAATGTCTAACCTAGAAAGGGAACCGCTGGTAATCAGACTTCATCATGAGACCCTTTCACTCTGGGAGAGACCCTGCCAAGAAGAGGGAAAGGTGGCCGCCAGCAATTGGAAAATGGGCAGAGATGAGGGCACAGGTCACCAGGGATGACAAGCTAGCATGGGGAAGGAAGTCCTGTGGAAGCCAGTGGGGAAACACACACTAAACCCACAGCTAGACTTCCACTTCCTGGGCTCAGCACAGAAACCCTGCCCTCCACGGAGCAGTGGGGAGCTCGAGCCCCTCCCTCCTCCCTCACCCACTCACAGGGAGGGCAGTGGCCAGGCAGCCGGCCTCCCATGCCTGAACCCCTGAGAGCCTCAGTCTTGTGACCTATAAAATTGGGAAATGGAGCACCATATACATTAGGTTCCCGGATGGCGTACAAAGGGGTGGCTTCAAACATGGCTCTGGAGGAGGACCTGGACGTGGGGGTTGTGGGGAGCTCCTTGGTTTGTGGCCGCATTGCTTCTGAGTCTGCCTGGTCTCCACACAGCCTCCTCCAGGCATTCCACATCTCCCTGTCCTCTCTTTCTACCCTGGTCATTGGATTTAGGGTCCACCCTGCTGCAGTGTGACCTCAACTTCTTCCAAACAAGGTTCCATTCAGAGGTTCTCAGTGGGCATGAATTTGGGAGGGCGCTGCTCAACCCAGCATACCGTGCTTGCAGTGAAAGCTAAATGAACACGATTTATATAAAAGCGTTCCATTAGCTTGTATGGCCTGGCAGGTGTGAACTGAGAAGATTGCTAAATGGTTAGTGGGACTTCTCTTTAGTCCTTGATCCTTCGGAAAGGCAATGGCTGAGGGGGGAGGAGAAGGGAGGGAGCAAGGAGAGAGAAGACAGAATGAGTCTACAAGCTCTTTCTTCATGATGCTGAGGGGTGACTGTCCCCTCACTCATTGCCCCCACACTAGGAGGGAAGCCGAGCTCATGATGGGATGCATGCGGTCACCGAGCCACCATCGTGGGTGATTGGCACTACAAGGAGGCACATGGTGGATGCCCCTCCCAGCAAAGCTTCACCACGGCAGGGGCTCCTTCCCTAGTGGCGTTACCAAAGCCCTCCTTGCCAGAGGGCAGACCCCAGCCTGCCCTCTGGAGTCCTCACAGTGCTCCTTTGCAGAAAGGAGGAAGAGAATGAGAGTGAGCGATCCGGTGCTGGCCCTCAGCCTCAAGGGCCACTTCTGAGTTGGCCTCATGGTCTTTCCCTGCAGGGCGACATCCTGACCACCAAGTACCAGGTGGACCTTGGGGATGGCTTCAAGGCCATGTACGTGAACCTCACGCTGACTGGTGAGCCCATCCGGCACCGTTACGAGAGCACTGGTATCTACCGTGTGTCTGTCAGGGCAGAGAACATGGCGGGACACGACGAGGCTGTGCTCTTTGTCCAGGTCAACTGTAAGTCCATTAAGCCTTTTGAGGTAGAGAGCAGACAACCTGGTCCTTGGGGAAGCACAGGTGGTCCTGGGGGCTGTAGATTCCCAGTCCTCACAATGGCAAGGCCAAAGGCACCAAGGCAGGCAGGCTGGGCTCAAACCTGCACCACTGGGGGTAGGGGTTGTGTGGTGGTGATTGTGATGGTGATGGTGATGATGGTGATGATGGTGATGATGGCAGTGGTGTTTGTGATGATGGTGGTGACAATGGTAATGCTGGTAGTGATGGAGCTGCTGATGGTGGGGATGGTGGTGAAGATTGTGACTGTGATGGTGGTGGTGGTGGTGATGATGGTGATGGTGGTGGTGATGGTGATGATGGTGGTGATTGTGGTGGTGGTGATGGTGATGGTGGTGGTGATGGAGCTGGTGATGGTGGTGGTGATAGAGCTGGTGATGGTGGTGATGGTGGTGATGATTGTGACTGTGATGGTGGTGGTGGTGGTGGTGATGATGGTGATGGTGGTGGTGATGGAGCTGCTGATGGTGGTGGTGATGGTGGTGATGATGGTGGTGGTGGTGATGATGGTGATGGTGATGGTGGTGGTGATTGGGTGGTGGTGATGGTGATGGTGGTGATTGTGGTGGTGGTGGTGGTGATTGTGGTGGTGGTGTGGTGATGATGATAGTGGTGATGGTGGTGATTGTGACTGTAATGGTGGTGGTAATGGTGATGATGGTGATGGTGGTGGTGATGGAGCTGCTGATGGTGGTGGTGATAGAGCCGGTGATGGTGGTGGTGACGGTGATGGTGATGGTGGTGGTGGTGATGATGGTGGTGATTGTGGTGATGGTGATGGTGGTGGTGATTGGGTGGTGGTGATGGTGATGGTGGTGATTGTGGTGGTGGTGGTGATGGTGATGGTGGTGATTGTGGTGGTGGTGGTGGTGATTGTGGTGGTGGTGTGGTGATGATGATAGTGGTGATGGTGGTGATTGTGACTGTAATGGTGGTGGTAATGGTGATGATGGTGATGGTGGTGGTGATGGAGCTGCTGATGGTGGTGGTGATAGAGCCGGTGATGGTGGTGGTGACGGTGATGGTGATGGTGGTGGTGGTGATGATGGTGTGATTGTGGTGATGGTGATGGTGGTGGTGATTGGGTGGTGGTGATGGTGATGGTGGTGATTGTGGTGGTGGTGGTGATGGTGATGGTGGTGATTGTGGTGGTGGTGGTGGTGATTGTGGTGGTGGTGTGGTGATGATGATAGTGGTGATGGTGGTGATTGTGACTGTAATGGTGGTGGTAATGGTGATGATGGTGATGGTGGTGGTGATGGAGCTGCTGATGGTGGTGGTGATAGAGCGGTGATGGTGGTGGTGACGGTGATGGTGATGATGGTGATTGTGGTGATGGTGATGGTGATGGCATGGTGATAGAGCTGGTGATGGTGGTGATGGTGGTGATGGGTGATGATTGTGACTGTGATGGTGGTGGTGGTGGTGGTGGTGATGATGATGGTGGTGGTGGTAATGGTATCCATGGTGGAGGTAGCAATGAAGTTGATTGTGACAGTGAGTAACAAATAAGCAGCCCCTAAAAGGTCTTGTGTCCTGCTGTCCTCTAACTCTGGCCTTTTTGGGATCCTGCAGCCCCCCTGCAGGCCCTCTACCTGGAGGTGGTCCCTGTCATTGGTGTCAACCAGGAGGTGAACCTGACAGCTGTGCTGTTGCCCCTGAACCCCAACCTCACCGTCTTCTACTGGTGGATCGGTCACAGCCTGCAGGTGTGCCCCCAAAAGTCCCCTCTTGGCCCTGCTCCCCACAGGTTTGTCCCAGGTGTGGCATGGGGGCAGGGCACTGTCCAGGGAGCTAGCAGCAGGACGCAGTGTAGGACACACACTCCAGAGACCCTCTTGCAAACAGCAAGCCCAGGCACAGGGCTGGGAGGAGGAGGGACTGTAGGCTCAGGTGTATATGTCCTTGGGATGGGAGCTCCAGGAAGGAGCAGCAGCTCTGGGTTCAAGTCTCCCCAGAGCACTGAAGGTTGAACTCTCCATGCCCCTCACTCACCGCCCAGAGCCTCTGGCTGCATCTACAAGGTCTGGCTTCCTGTCTCTGAGTGGCATTGTCACCCGCCATGATAAGTGTGCCCTCACTGCCATAGTTGAGGCCTGAGCAGGTGCTGCATCCTGGGATGAAAGTACCATAGCTGGGGACTGGGGAGACAATGGGATGGGATGCAAAGGCCCTGTGGGGGCCGGGAGCCTCAAAAGGTCTGATAGGAGGGTGTGTCAGCAACAGGAGGGACATGGCTCCATGACAGTTGGCAGCCCAGGTTCCCTGTCTGGCTTAGAACCAGGGTGACCAGGGGCTTCACCACCCCTCCCGGTACCACCACCACAGAGCACACCTTGTGGTTCATTGCCAAAAAGAGCAAGGGTAAGCACAGCCTCAGGGTGGCTACGGCACCAGACCAGTGCCCAGTGCCCACTGCCCTACCAGGTCCTGAGCCCTTGTGCCCCGCAGCCCCTCCTCTCCCTGGAGAACTCGGTGACGACACAGTTCGTCGATGCAGGGGACGTGCGTGTGACGGTGCAGGCCGCCTGTGGAAACTCAGTGCTGCAGGACTCCAGGGTCATCCGTGTGCTGGGTGAGTCTCCGGACCGGGTGGCTTGGCCTTGGCCTCTGTCTCCATACAGGAGTCAGGTCACACGAATGCACAACCACGATGGCCTGGTCACCCCAGAGGGCCCTGGGTGAGCCAAGAGGAGCTAGGTGAATGCAGCTCTGTTCTGGACTGCGTGGCCTTGGCAATGTCTCCCAGCCTCTCTGCCTTGGTTTCCCCACCTGTCAAATGAATACCGGGTGTCTCACGAGACACTGTACACAAATGAGGGCATTGAGAAGTGATGACATATGGTCTCCTGCAGCAAGAGTGGGGCTGGACACCATCTCCTGCCTCCCAGGGCTTGCCCTGTCTGCTCACTCCATACCCACTGCCCATCACTCTCAGGATGACCCCTGATTGCACTTCAAAACAAGAGTCCCGTTTCAGAGCTCCTCCTGTCCCGAGCATGTCCTCATGCATCTGCACCACTGGGGCGCTTAGCCCTGGGGGGAACATTTACCATGGAAAATGTCCTAGGAGGGAGGAGACCCTGCCCACCATACCCTTGCCCTGGTCATCACCAACACACCAATAAAAACCTCTCCTCGCTTTCAGGTAAATGTTAGTGGCCTAGTATGCATGACAGGCCATTCATAGGACCCTCTGCACCCTGGAGGAGGCCACTGGCCTGATCATCACCACCTCACTATAGCACATCACTCACGATTCACCAAACTCTTGTCCCTTGGGCCCTTAGCCTGGCAGAGCCTCCACCTGCCTCAAGGGGAGAAAGCCTGAGGCTTGATGGGGGATTACAGTTCAGCTCCTCCGAGGCTCCTGCTGACTGTAGAAGAGCTCTGCATGTGGGCCCTGGAAAACGTGGAGAAGGAATCAGGCTCTGCTCTCAAGGAACTCTTAATCTGGTGGGGTGGGGAGAAAAGCCCAGTTGAAGTCCATGTATCTCTGAGGAATGAGAAGCCAATCTCACAGGGGATGTACATCTTTGTGAGTTGAGGGCCCACATCTCACAGCATAGGCTTGCCCCACACACACTCTCCCTCCCTGTTCAGTGCAGCCATCTTTGTCATGGTCATGGCCGTTGTCATCATCACAGTCATTGTAGCGCCAGTGAGTGGGCCCTGCCTAGGGAAGCCACACAGGAAGAGCTCTTGTCTAAACACAGAATCACGACCACTCTCTGACCTGCATCAGAAGACCATGGGACAATGACTGGGGGACTGGACCCAGGGTTGCCCTGAGCTGTCCAGGATGTGGGCTGCCCTCCCTGGAGGGGCCAGAGCTGCTGTCCAGGACTGACCAGCGCTCCTGTTTATGCTTCTTTCCAGACCAATTCCAGGTGGTGCCTCTGCAGTTTTCTACTGACCTGGATGCCTTCAACCCCAACACTCCCGAATGGAGGGAGGACGTGGGCCTGGTGGTCACCCGGCTGCTCTCCAAGGTGTCCAGCTCATTCGGGCCTGTGGGCCTCGGGGTACCTGGAGCAGGACAGGCTGGCGGAGGTGCTGGGCCCCACAGATGCAAGTCTCTGCCCCTAGGCCAGCTGCAGGTGCTCAGAAGCGGGGGATTGCTGCCCTGGCTGGAACACTCACAGCTGGGTGTCACCTCGAAGAGGAGGGACAGGACCTGTACCACCAAGCACTTCTAGAGCACAGCGGTGTGCATGAGTCACTGTCTACAATGGCCTGGTGTTTTACAGTCACCTTCACTTACTGACTGAATTTCTATTCTGAGCTGGACTCTGGAGGCAGAGACCCCCAGGGACCTCACAGAAAGCAGACCAAGGCAGGTCATGGGTGGGCTGGACAGGAGAACAACTGGGGCCCTTGGCCACCAGGAAGAGGAAGACCAGCCCCCTAGAGCTACCCAAGGTTGTAACAGGCCAAGACCCACCCTGACCATTCTTCCCTCATCCTGCTAATAATGCTGGTAAAATCGTCCTGGGTGCTGAAGGATGAGTAGGAGTTCACCAGATAGCAGTGCATGAAGTGGTACTCCCAGGAGACAGGGGGAACCTCCAGGAGCTATGCCTGGCAGGCTGAGGAGTTGTGTGTGTGTAGCTGGGGCTGGATCGGGGTGGGAACTAGGAAGGGGAAGGCAGTAGGTGGGAGTCAGTAAGGCCAGGTATTGGGGCTCTAGTTGGGGAGCCTGGTCTCACCCCAATGTCTGGAGGACACTAGCCAAAGGGACCTGCCCACTGCAGCCGTGGTAGGAAGAATGGGCTCAAAGAGCAGGCCTGGCCAAGGGAGGCAGTGTGGGGGCCACAAATTCAAACCCACATGGGGGCTGAGTGACAGAAATTGGCACAGGGTGCTGTGGGAATCTGGACCAGCTGCATGAATGCAGGGGACAGTGGCAATTTGCACGACAGATGACCTGACTTACATGGGCCTGAGAGGGGAAACAGGTGTTCTTGGGGTCGGCATGTGTCAGGATATGAGGAGAAGAAGAGGATTGAGGTGTCCTGTCTGTCTCCACAGGAGACCAGCATCCCTGAGGAGCTGCTGGTGACTGTGGTGAGGCCGGGGCTGCCCACCTTGGCTGACCTGTATGTGCTCCTGCCCCCGCCCAGGCCCACAAGGAAAAGGAGTCTCACTGGTGATAAGGTATGCCCTGTGGCCACTGGACACCCCGGTCCCCCACACAGCAGGGCTTAGTTGGGGTCCTTCTGACAAACAGGACAACTCCGTGGGCATCTTCTCACCATATCATAGTCTGACTTGTGGTGCTAGCCATTTACCTTGTGGCTCTGCCCTCTGGAGGTCACACAGCCTCCAGGGTCACAGAGCCAGGGCCAAGTGAGGGGGAAGGGACAGGAGCACCTTGGTGGGGAATGGTCTCACTTTGTCTCCCACATCATTGGTTGAAGCTGGTCACGTGTCCTCAACTTGACTGCAAGGAATGCTGGGAAATGTAGGCGAGCACTGATCAGGACACACCTGGTGGCAGGGCCCAGGCCAGAGCAGAGATCAGCCTCCACACAATCAATAAACGTCCTTATTACAGGACAACTGCCAACTCAAATCCCTGATGGAGGGGACAGAGATGTGGGAGGGGGAGTCAAAAGTGCTTCATAATCCCTATGCAGCCACTAGGTGGCTAATATCAAAAAGCAGACAATGCCAAGTGTTGGTGAGGAGGAATGAGAACCTCACACACTCTGGTGGGAACAGAGCTCTCTCAAAAGACCCTGATAGCCGAGAACAATTGCACAAAAACCAAAGTTGGATGCTGCCACTGTGACAAACTCTGGCAGCTCCTCAGCAAGGTAACACAGTGACCCCATGAGCCATGATTCCATTCCAGGACGTACCCAAGAGAAACAAAGGCACATCCACACAGACACTCATGCACAAAGACTCCCATTCATCATGGCCAAAAAAGGACACAACCCAAGTGTCACCCGTACTGATGAGTGAATGAGCAAAACATGGGCCCTCTGTGCAAAGGAATGTGGCCATTCAGTCCTGAAAGGAAGTGAGGAGGAGCACGAGGACATGAGGGTCAGTGACAGAAGCCAGGCGCCAAAGGACTGCATGGCACGACTCCAACTGTACCACAGACAGGAGTGTGATGGTGGTTGTGGGGCTGGGATCCAGGTACAGGGAGTTATGGGAGTGGATTATGAGATGCCTCTGAGAACTTGACATAGCACAGCTGTGCTCAGTGATCTATAGGCTGAGTGTGGCCCCAGCCAGAAGAGAGCAAGAGGCAAAATGCAGCACAGCCGCTTTTCCTAAGTTGTTTATGTTCGGAGAAAGAAGTAGGAACACAGGTTTCTCTTGTTACAATGTCACGCCCCTCCCTGAGAACTGCTGCTCCACCTCCTTGTTTACCACTGGATATAAAAGACTTGCTGAAGGAGGATGCAGGGGGTTTTGATGGGAATTGATTGATTGGTGGGCTGCTGAGTCATGCTAGCGATTAGAGGAAATGGGACAGTGTGAGTCTGAGCACTGAGATTTTTAAAGGGAACATGGGACAGTGCAAGTCTAAGGAAAGAGACTCTAAAGAATAGAAAAGAAGCAAGATTTTAAAGAAAGACTTTAGACATAAGGCCTTAAAGAATAAAAGAAAAGAAGAAACAAGGCTGTTGTGCATTTCCATCTGGTGCCCAACACACCTGACCCCAACTTTATGCATGTCTGTCTGCTATCGTTTGTCCTTTCTGCATCTCCAGTCGCCCCCAGTTAGGTTGGGAGGAACGGAGCGTCAGGAAGCTCGCACCAGGGAGTGATGGCTGAAGAACGGGGGTTTCCTGTGCAGGTGACAGAACTGTCAGGAAGTTGACACTGGGGGGTGGTGCATGACCTGGGGAGCACACAGGCACCAGAGCTGTACACCTGACCGGACCCAAGCCAGCTCATGTGGAAGCGGGCAGAGACGCACACAGCAACTGGATGTGGTAGCTTGTGCCAAGGTTGGGGCCACACAGCCCCAGCGTCCCTCAGATGCTGGTCTTGCTGTGCTAGTGAGGGAAGGGGACTGGTGGCACCATCAGGAAGGCCCAGAGGCCCACAGAAGTTGGCAGTGTGTCTACACACTAAACAAGAACAGCCTGGGACAGCAGTCAGAAAGGCTGTCCCAGTTAGAAGAGCATCAGGCAATAAAATGAAATCTTCAGGGATAAATTTAACCAAGGAGATGAGAGACCTGTGTGCTGAAGCCTTAAAACACCTGTGAGAGAAAATGAAGATGACCTGATAGATGGGAAAACTGCCCAGGTTCTCAGATTAAAAGGATTGTCCAAGTGTCCATCCCACCCAAAGCGAGCAACTGGTTCAGTGTCCTGTTACAATTCCAATGGCACCTTCCATAAAAATAGGTCCCTAAACAGTCCTAAGATTCACCTGGAACCACAAAAGACCCTGAATAGCCATGGGAGGAAAAAAAAAAAAAATACCAGCTTTAGTAATCAAAGCAGCGTAGAGAGCAAGGCAACAGCCTCAAGCACCTAGAAATAGTCCACGTGTCTGTGGTCAATTGACTTTCAACAAAGACACCAAGAACATGCAACAAGGAGAGGACAGTCTTGCCTACAAATGGTGTTGGGGAAATTGGATGTCCACATACAGAAGAATGTAATTGGAGCCTTATCTCAAACCATATACAAAAAATCAACCCAAGGTTGGGCATGCTGACTCGCACCTGTATTCCTAGCTACGCAGGAGGCAGAGATCAGAAGGATCTTGGTTGGAGGCCAGGCCAGGTAAAAGGTTAGTGAGACCCCATGTCAATGAATAAGCTGGATATGGTGACACACATCTGTAAAATCAGGCACAAAGGAGGGAATAGGTAGGATTGAGGTCTGAAGATGTCCCTGGGTGAAAGCAAGAGACCCTACTTGAAAAATAACTAAAGCAAAAAAAGGGCTGGGGACATGGCTCAAGTGGAAGAGCACCTGATTAGCAAGAATGAGGCCCTGAGTTCAAGCCCTAGTACTGCCAAAAAAAGAAAACTCAAAATAGATTCAAGACTTAAACATAAGACCAGAAATTGTAAAACTACTAGAAGAAAAAACATAGGGAAAATGACACATCGGTCTTGGGAAATTACAGGAGTGATCACAGGACCCAGCAATTCCACTTCCAGTATACACTCAAGAAAAATGAAAGCATGCCCTCACAAACACTTGTACACCGCCAGCAGCACTGTTCATAATGACCCAAAATGAACACAACCTAATGGCTGTGACCCCCAAACGTAGACTACAAAAGCAAAACGAGACCAGTAGGATTTCATCAAAAGCTTCTGCACAGCACAAGACAGACACCTGCAGGACAGATTGTCCAGAATGCATAAGAAGCTCCACCAACTCAACAGCAGGCACACAAAGAGCCCAGTGAAAGGTGACAATGGACCAGAATGGACATTTCTCCCAAGAAGACACACAGATGGCCAACAGCGACATGACAAAGTGCTCCCCACCTCTTGTCGCCAGGGAAACGCTAGTCAAACCTTGATGAGATGTCACCTGGCTGCTATCAGAACAATGGCAGGAGCATGACGAGTGGAGACAGGGTGTCCCTTCATCCCGCCCTGGCTCTGCACCTCATTTGCTCCAGGAATGCACTGTGTGGAATCTCAGTTGAGAGCAGAGACCTCAGAATGTCCTCCATGAAATGCCTGGTAGAGGCAGCTTTGGGGACTGCCACCCATGGGGTCCCATTCCTATTCCCACCCCCTTCTACCCACTGTGCAGAGGGATGACCCCCAAGTAGCCTCTGGCCTTCTGAACACCAGGGCCCCCTTCTGGCCAGTGGTGAGTCAGCCAGGGGTTGGGGAAGTTCTGGGCAGGCTGCTACCTGGCGGCAGCGCGCAGGTGGGTCACACAGCATTTCAGGCCCCCTCCAACGGAGATTAGGCCATGATGGAGGCCAAGCCCTTCTCCCCCAAGGCCACAGTTAGAAGGCTGGGGTGAGTCCGGTTTTGTGCCCTGTCATGGCTCCTGAGGGGTCTGGAGTCCACCCAGATGGGTCCAGTTGAGGTCAGAGCCCCCAAGGATCCAGAAACATGGGACAGTCATCATGGGGAGTCAGCCAGGTGTCCATGCCAGGCCCTAAATATGACTGATCTCAGGACACAGGAAGGGTGGACAGGAGCTGGGAGAGCCCTATTGTGCACTGGGTGCCATCCCTGTTTGTCATCTCACATGGGTCCCCAAGAAAGGCATCTGTGGTCTACAAGCCTGGCCATCCAGCCCCAGACACCTCTACCCTGCCATACCCCCAGTCCAGCACCACCTTCTGGTTCCTGGTCAGGTAGCGGTTGCTCCCCTGCCTCATTCTCCTTGTGCTCTTCCTCCTCTGGGAAGCCTTCCATGACCACTGCCAGGGTTGGGGCCTCCTGAGGGTCCCCGAGTTCCCCATCTCCACACACCCATGACCTGTGATCCTGTACATCCATTCCCAACTGGAACAAGAGTTCGCTGAGGGCAGGGCCAGGTCTGGGCACGTCTGTGTCCCATCGGTGGTTCATGGTGGGTGCTGTCCGGTGGGTTTGTTCCTATTCACTGAGGACACCGAGCTGCAGGAGCCCGAGGCCCCTCCAGCCCCTGGACCTGCAGAAGCCACTTCCTAGCTCTCCTGCCCCTCTGGGCCCTGAGGACACTCCTCCCCCCTCTGCTTTCAGAGACTCACGGCCATCCAGCAGGTACTCGACGCACACAAGATCAGCTTCCCACTCCGAGGTGGGCTCCGGGTCCTGGTGGCCCTGAGGGAGGTGGACACAGGTGAGAGGCTTGGCCGGGTCCTCTAGGGGGCTGGGTAGGTGTGTGTCCAGGCCCTGCAGGCCTCCTTGCTGGGCCATCTCCAATTAGACCCATCGGTCCCTGGCCAGGCCAGCCCCTGGGGCCTTGCTGTCTCTTCCAGGGCAGAATGCTGTCACACCCATGTCTTGGGTCTCAGATGGTCTCTGCTCCTGCCTCCCCACCGGGACAGTCACCCCCATGTCATCCCCCCTGGGCTGTCTTCTCTGTCACTCCTATGCCCTTTCCCTGGGCTGGCTGTGGTCACTCTTTTGTTCTCCCCCATCCTGGGCGGGGGGGTTCACTCCCTTGCTGCCCCTGGGGCAGGATGTCTGCAGAAGTGATCTTCTGCTCTACAGAGACACCACCCTGGTCAGGAGCCCGGCAGCTCACCCGTGCCACTCTGCAGGAGGAGGCCTGGCCCACAGTGGGTTGTACCCACAGTACACAGCAGAACTGGGCCAGGAGGGATGGCGAGGTCCTCCAAGGTCACACGCTGTGTGATCCTCTGTCCTTCATAACCCACTGACCCCCTCAGCCACCACAGGCTTGGGGACCAGCCAGACAATGTGAAGCAGCCTCCATCCAGGGCTAGGGCTGGGGCCAGGGCCATACCGGTCATCTCTCACTACTTTGCTTGCAGGTTCTCAGAGACTGGGTGGCAGCAGCAGCTACTGGGCCGTGGTGGTCCTCTTTGTCATTGGACTCTTCACAGTGGGAGCATTCATCCTCTACAAGTTCAAAAGGCAAGGCCACCTCTCCTGTCTTGGCTGACTGGGCCTGTCATGGGGCGGGCAGATCTAGAAAGCCCAGAGGCTGTGGCTTCCCAGCTGGGCCTTGGAAGGAGGTGGGGTGAGGCTCCCCGTGAGGATTGCTGGGGGTGGGGGAAAACTGGCCAGCTTTGTTACCCGTGGGCCCCAGGGAGATAGACGGCCACCCACTCCCCACCCAGGAAGCATCTCCTACAAACACTGTCCACTCTGAGCCTTGGGCATCGCCTCCCTCAGCTCTACCTCCCCAAGGGAGGACACTGTGGGGTCCACAGATGAGGAAACCAGGCCTGGAGAGGCTAAGGGAGGAGCCCAAGTCTGGCAAGCAGTGGGGCAGGACTGGCCGTGTCGCCGCTGCTGCAGGCTCCCCACCCCTCTGCTTTCAGAGGGAGCAAACACACTGGACAGTTGCTGCCTCTCCTGCCCAGATACTCTACCAGGAGGGCTCTGGGTGTCCAGATGGGGGTGGGCACTGAAAACACCCAGTGGGGCTTGTGTCAAGCCCAGGATGCTGTGTGTCTCTTCAGAGGGCCCCAGAACCCCTCTTCCCTCCTGGCCCAGGGGCTCCCTGTAAAATGGTTCATTGGCCCCTCACTGGTCCAATAATGGCTACTCTGTTTGCCCCTGGACTCTGCCCCTGGGCCTGAGCAAAATGATGCCTGCCTAGGCAGCTTGGCTCCGATCTGACCCCACTGCCCCCTAGCTGGTCCAGCTTCAGGGCCTCAGTCACCCTGGGCAGGGTCACTTTGAGGCCCACTGAGGGATACAGCTCATCTTTCCCTGTGCTTGTCTGGAGCCAAGGGCTCCCCATCCCAAGACCCACAGGTTCCTGGTCCTAGACCAGGAAACCCCTCTGGACCCCTCTCCTGCTGACTTTGACGAAGTCTGTCTCGTGGGCAGTAGTAATGCACAACCCCCTTTATGCCGCACATATGTTACTTGGTTCCAACTGAATTGGGTAAAGGGGATGAGGTGCTCTCAGCATAGGAAACAGGACCTCAGCTGGTCTGGAGACTCCAGGAGCGCTTCCCGAGGAGGGATCTAGAAGGATGCATAGGAGTTTTCTAGGCAGAGGGGATAGAACCAGGTCCAGATTGTGGCCTTATCGATTTCCAAACTCACAGAAGCACTGGATTCCTGACAAGTTCACCCAGGTGTCCCATATACACCCTCAATTCGACCCAAAAGCATCCTGAATGAAGGACGCAGCCTTCCACCAGGTGCCCAGGCTGGGAGTGCCCTCCTCTCTGTTTGCTCCCACCCCTCGGCCAATAGCTATCACTGTCACTGGACTGTGGGAAGTGGGGTCCTGATGCCAGGCCCCTGCCTGCCTGTCACTGCTACTGGGATGGCAGGAGCCCCATGTCCTCTTCCCTCCTCTGCCTGTCATTGTGCACGGCTCTGGAGCCGAGTATTGGCAGGGGCTACCTGAGGCTCTTCAGAGACAGCAGCAGCCTGCTGGGCACACAGCCTGGTGGTGACTGGCAAAGATGCAAACAGCTCTCCACAGAAGAGGGAGGGCCCTGGGTACCGCCGTGGTGTTACCCTCAGGGCCCTCACGAAACCCACCTGGGGTCCAGGTGCCTGGTGATCTGCACCCCCCACCCCCAGGGTGGCAAGACCCCAGCCTTTCTGCCTCCCAGCACACTGCAGGGCCAGGACCCAGCCAAACTGTGGCAGCCCTGCGTGTGAACCGAGGGCGTGGACCCATCTCTAAAATCTGACCACCACTTCCCAGTCACTGCCCGGTTCTGCAACTCAGGCCAGGGCCTTTGCCGGACTGCGCCTCAGGTCCTTGTCTACAGAGGGGGCTTGGAGGACGGCAAAGCTGCAGGGGCTGGGAGAAGGCAGAGTGTCCGGCTGCCACCCAAAGGCTTGGCAAGGCAGCTGAGCTCTGAGTGGCAGGACAGGAGCTGTGGGCGAGATGCCCAAGTCAGAGCTGCATGGGAGGCTTCAGTTCTGCATGTCGGGTGGGCACAGGCTTTTATCTGGCCTCAGTCTGGGCCACAGGGAAATGGGGGGCTGAGGACAGTCAGGTTAGACAGCACAGCAGCCTGCTCTGGGGAGAAGGTGGGTGGCAGGGACGGAATTCTGACCTCTGCAGGTCACATGTCTGCCCTGAGGGCCAAACCATGGTTTCCACAACCTTGCCCCAGTCACACTGCACATGGCGTGAAGGGGCAGAAGGACACTGTCTCACTGCCCACCTGCAAGAGAGAAGCCAGCCTGCCATGGGGCGCCCAGCCTTCTTGCAAATCCATCAGTTCACCTGTAAGGGTGGGGCAGCATTGCCATGGAAACAGGGAGGCCTGGTCAGTGCCCCTCCCCACCAACTCCAGATCGACCCAGGGGAGGACAAAAGAGCAGGGCCCAGGAGTGGATGAGAAAGGGACACCTGTCAGCCCCTCCGTCAGCGGAGGGGGTGGGAGGGGGGTGCGACCACAGCCCTGTGGCAGCTGGAACTGACTCCCAGCCTCCAGAAGTCCATTTGTCTCTGTGCTGCATGTCCTCTGGGTGGCAGGGGCAGTCTCAGGTCACTCAGGCAGGGCCATCTCCAGCATTCACCTACAGAGGACACCGTTCACTTAACCCCCTCAGGGCACTGCTGACTTGCCTATCCACCCAAGAACCTGAATATGCATCCTGCCACCAAAGTGTTCCCAGGAGGTGGGCAGCACCTGCCAGCCACCTCTAAGACGCCTTCCTCCCCCACAATCCCAATCCCATGTGGGACTGTGACCCTAGGGTTCTGGTTGGAGAACTGGGGTCATTCACGTGTCCATCAGGAGCTGGACAGTGGTCCTAAGTCCAGTCCCAGCAGAGGCAGAGGGGTTCGTGCCACCCTCCTGCTTCCCTGGTGCCTGGACAAGAAGGGAAATTGAGGACAGTGGGGCCCCAGGAAGCCCAGATGGACAGGGCCCAGCAGGTACCCCTCAGGGCCAGTTCGCACTGTGCACGAGGGTCACAGCTGCCAGGTTCTGGGAGAGGAAGGAGAACTCAGCATGGTTCTGTAGCACACAGGCTCCAGGGTCAGAAGGCAGTGGAGTACAGCCTGCAGCCCAAGGGAACAGTGGAAGGCTTGGCTTTCCCTGGGGGAGAGGACAGCCCCTCGGCAGTGCTGTCTGCACCACCAAGGCTCAGAGTCTGGCAAGCTAAGTGGCTACCTCTGCCCGGCAGGAAACGCCCAGGCAGGACTGTGTACGCCCAGATGCACAACGAGAAGGAGCAGGAAATGACAAGCCCCGTGAGCCACAGCGAGGACGCCCAGAGCACCATCCAGGGTAGGGACTGCGGCACAACAACTCCCCACCTGCTGCCTCCAGGGGGCCCCCTCCCTCCCCGCTTCCCCGACCATAGGTGCCCAGAGGGTGGCCACCTGGCCAACAAAGCATAGGGAACATGGGGCCAGGCTGGCTCTGCCCGTGGGTCCCTCTGGGCTGCATGTCTACCTGGTGTGGTGAGGACAGTGCCTGTCAGAGCTGTGCAAGATAAAATCAGAGGCTGGGTAGGAACCAGGCCCTATGCCCAGCAGCAGCTCACCAGCCCTTATGGCCTCAGAGTCAGGGAGGATGAAAAGTGGCCTGGCCCCCTCCCCTCGTCACCCCTCCCAGTTATCCTGCTCCGTGAAAATGACAATTCCTTGAGCCTCAAGCACACAGCTCCTAAGCACAGTGCTTTACAGTTTGTACAGCACTTTTACTCCTGCCATGCCAGACAGGGACAGTGCCAGGCAGGTCACCCAACCGCTGCTGGTATGGCACCTCTCTCTATGCCTTTCCTCTGAATGGTGGCTGTTTAGCTAGACTTAGCATCCAGACAGACCCCAAGCCTGGCCTGGACCACCCTGTCCTCTCTGTGCAGCTTCTCCTTTCATAGTGACGGGCACCACCGCCAGCCTGTGCTGGTCGTTAGCACTCTGCCCAAGTGTCCAGGCCAGGCATGGTTCATGACGACCAATTGTCATGTTCTTATCATCTACCTTTGAAGCCCAGGTCATCTTTCATGTGTGCCTCAGAACCGTGTGTGTGCCTGTGTGTGCATGTGTGTGTGTGTGCATCTCTCTGTGTGTCTGTGTGTGTGTGCACGGGTGTGTATGTGCATGTGTGCACGTGTGCACGTGTGTGTGTGTGTTGGGGGATGATCACCCTTACTGCTTGAATTAAGAGCAAGGCTGAGAGAGGTCATTGCTCACCTGGGGCCACACAGCTCACAGTGGCTGACCTTGGATCCTGATCAGGTCAGCATGACACCAAATCCTGTGTCTTCTACCCCCTGACTGCTCTGGGCAGGTTCCCCCCTGCTATCACGCTCCTGGCTGGACCCCAAATACACCAGGCAGGTGGGGGTGTCTCTATGGCTTCTGCATCCTCCAGCCCAGGTGTGCTGGTCACCACACGACACACCTGCAGCCTTGGGACACACCACCTGCAATTTACGGAGGCTCTTAAGGCTGCAGGCCCCAGACGTCACTGGACGTTTCTGGATGTCACTGGACCCCAAGAGGCCGCTGTGTCCAGGTTGCAGGTGGGCAGCTGAGGCTGACCTGTGGTGGTGCTGGATCATCCAGCTGTGGCTGTGCAGCCATGTGCCCTCTGCAACCCCAAGTGTCCTGTGTACCCCAAAGACCCTGCCACAGGCCTCACCTCTGCCCAGGACAGAAGGTGGTCTTGGGGATCCATGCTGGCCTCACGTAGCTGGCCCTGTCCTCATGCAGCAGGTCACAGCCCCCTGTGGGCAGGGCATGGGGCCTCAGGAAGACAGGAGCCTCCCTGCTGACAGAAATTTTCTTTTGAGCATAATACTACCTTAATTAGGCCTTAGCATGTGCCAGGACCCCGTTAGGGGAACACCCCAGTGACAAGCCGGGGCCTGTGAGGCAGAGGCCCGTGATGAAGCTCTGCTTGAACAGTCAGCCTCGTCTCAGCACCGAGCCCATAGTCTCAGTCCCACAGCCTGTGCAGTGCCGGTGCTCCGGCCACTGCCATCAGCGTTGTATGCACCAGGTGGAGCAGAGAGACAGGCTCCACGAAGCAGCTCTGGGCCCCCTTACCTGTCCCCTACTCTCATAATGGAGCCTCAGCCCCTTGACCCGTTAACCCATCTCTGACAGTCACCATGTCCCCCTCTCTCCTGCTCTCGCCTGCCCAGTCCTTTCCACGCTACGCCCTGCCGCCAGGAGGGGGCGCAGCCTCAACCCCTCTTGCACCCCCCTACTGCTGATGCCAGGGGCGGCCCCCATGCAGGTTAGTGTGGCCTCCTCACAGGCCTTGGTCCACTGCTGTGGTGACACCGCACACCCACTCCTTAGTCACAGTAACCACCAAGGAAGCTGGAGATCTCACCCAGCCCTGCACCCAGCATGACGAGGAACCTCGGTGCCCACCGCATGCTGGCTCTGCACACTGTTGAGGCCACCACTCGTGTCCTGCACGGCCATTTCTCACTGGCCCCATCCGATGGACTGTGCTCATGGCGCCTCTCTTCTGTTCCCTAGGCAACCACTCAGGAGTGGTCCTGAGCATCAACTCCCGGGAGATGCACAGCTACCTGGTGAGCTGATGCTCTGGGCTGGGCCAGGACACTCCTGTTCCACTCGTGGAGGGCACAGGACCACAAGTGCAGCTGGAACGATGTCCCCTCAGAGACCTTCGGAAAGGCCACCTCCTCCAGTCGTCCCCACCCAGGGGACAGGCACTTCTCCCTCTGTCAGCCCCAGCTAGCCCTCAAGACACTGGGCCAGCTGACTCCTGACCTAACTGGACACAGGCCTGCGATGTCCACACCCCTGACTCTGGGGTACTGCTGCCCCTGGACCCTGTCTACGCTGCCCTGGCCACTCCAGCCTGTCGCCGTAGCTAGCTGAGGCCTGGCTGAGGCCTGGCTGAGCCTGGGGTGAGCCTGATGGTTTGGCTCCACAGACCAGCTTTGCCCCTGCCCCAGGACTCCTGTCCCTGCAGAGGGTGCTCTGGGGTTCTGGAAGCCTGTGGGCCAGGCCTCCCCAACACCACCCTCTAGGCCTCCCACTGTTCTCTTTTTAAACTACAGGTAATGTAAATACCTCTCTAGGTAGCCCTTTGCATTTTGGGCACTTTTGTTTAACTTTGTTTTTAAGGACAGACGGTAGGTGCCATCTGGGTTGTCGTCAGAGCCACACTAAGGCTCTCCATCCAGACTGCCTAGGGCTCCTTCTCTGGACCCTGAGCAGCAAAGTTCTCCCTGGTTTTCCCTGGGTGGGGAGGGGAGGTGAAGAGACCCAGCACCTGCAGTTCCTCATCCCACGAGTAGGAGGCGCCCACACAGCCTCTGTTGATGGCTCTGGAAGGAGCTGGTGGCCCCAGAAAGTCCAGCAGCCCCAGAAGCACCATGGCTTCCTGACAGCTTTGGGACCCGCGTAGAACCAAACCAGTTGAGTGTAGGCTGGCAGGAGCAGCCTCTCGTGGTGAAATGGGGCACTAGTGCCCAGAGAGGGGGTGGCTTTCCCAAGGCCACAACAAGGTGGTAGCCCAGGACACAGGGCGGTCCACCCACTCACAGCTGCCTCAAGTCAGGGACCTAGTACAGGTCTACAGGTAGGAGCGGACAGCAGGACATTTCACTTTTTGCCTTGAAACGGGAAGGTCGGTATCTCCCCTTCTTTCCTCCTCCTCCTCCTCCCCTCTGTTTGGTGGTCAAGCCAGAGCCCAGCAGGTAACTTGCTGGCTGGCAGTGAGGCCTGGATGTCTTGCACACCCTGTTGTAGCTTTCAGAGAATCCACCCATTTTCTCTGTGGAGGGAGGAGGAGGCCCAAGGACGAACCATCACACCGGGACCATTCCGGGGTGCTAAGACTTTGTTGAATGGATGCCTCTGGTGTCCAGATGCTCCTGTTGCAGGTGGGACTTGGGACTGCAGGAACAAAGGCAGCCACGTGGACACACAGCCTGGCAGTGGGGGTGTCCCAGCAGTACCCCAAACCCTTTTCCTCCCTGCCACTCACTGTCTGGGACTCCTGGCCTCTCCAGAGATGGCCCTCTGAGTGAAGAGAGGGGTTGGGAACGAGGACTCAGTGCCAGTAAATGCTTGGACTCTCTGAGACCTTCACTATGACCCCACTCACCCGTTTGTACTCTGCAAAGATGCCTGGGTGGAGATCTGCCTCTCGCTGGCCACCCCCACCCAGCCCCCACCCCCAGTGCCAGCCCCACGCCAGAGACACACAGCACAGCTCAGGCTCAAGGTTCAAGGTCCAAGGTCAGCACGGAAGCCCTGGAAAAAGCCCCCCACCCCTCTTAGCTCACCAGTGCCTGGGGTAACCAACTGCAGGTCTCTGACCCTCTGTGACCACTCGGTTTAATTCTCTCAGCTGTTCCGGTAGGCTTCCCCTTAGTTACTTGTGTTTTTTCTTATATTTTATGTTATTTTTCCGAGGAACATTTTGGGTGTGTGGACCCAAGAACTTGGGAACAAGGTGGCATCTGATAACCACACATGTGGGCGGATGGAGCTACCTGGTTATCACTGGCGTTCTGTGCTCGATGCACCCACGTCAGATACAACCAGCTCCCGGGCTCTCACAACCACATCAGGCACATTCTTGGTATATGCACATAACAGACAATGCATTTTTTCTTGTTTTTCCTTTTTAAAAATCAATAAATCATTTGTGATGCTTTTAACAAAGATTAAACGAGCGTGGTCAGCTTTTGCCTTACGATGAAGACGTTTCGATGTTTACCTAAGTGCATGCAATCACGTCTGCGTGTACATGCAAGCTTGTCCCCGGAGTCCCATGCCCAGCAGACCTGACTATAGTCTCTCAGTAGACCAAGGCTCAGGCTTGTCACTAGATTCGAGTCACTGGATCAGTCTGGGGCCCAGAAAGTTCTCGGTCTTGTCAGAGGAAGAATTTAAGGGCAGACACAAAGGAGACTTAAGCAGAAGCAGGTTTATTTATGCAAAACAAGGCAAAAATGAAAGTTCAATCTCCATGCAGGAGAGAGGGCAGGCTTGAGCAAGAGCAGCAGCAGCGGAGTCTCAAGACTTCAGGCTTTTATGGGGTCTGCAAACATTTGGTGGTCAGTCCCAGAAAACTGAGTTAATATGTCATTCACTTCTGGAGACTGGGTTATGCATCACCAACTCCTCCCACATGAACAGACCAGAGCTGTTGTTTTCCACAGGCTGTGGGGGCTGCCAGGCACCAAGACCCTGCTGTATGTCACACGTGTTCTCTTTGTATCACCAGTGCAGGGTGTGACTCCTTGTGTACAGCCAAGCCATGGGTCTCAGCCATCAGGCTCCCTAAATCCCTGCTTCCGATGGTAGCTCATGCACCCCTATGCTGCTCTGTTTCCCCTCCCTGGGCTGAGGGACCAGGACTTGCTTGAAACCTCAGCTGTAACACCTTGTAACGAACATAGCTCTCTCTTACCTTCTTCTCAGCGTAATCCTGTTACAAAGTGAGAGAGAGAGAGAGAGAGAGAGAGAGAGAGAGAGAGAGAGAAGGAACATGCCATTTGCTGAGTGGTTTCCAAGTCATTTACAGAATAAAATGGGTTTGGAATTGCTCCATGGACTGCTCGAGGGGACAGTGCTGGCACGTGCAGGAGGCTCTGTCCTCTGCCTTGGCCTATACCCTGCACCAGGTGCCCTCAAGTCCAGTGAGCTTGCCTGTGGAAGCACTTCAGTTCTTCCTAATGAAACACATGCATGGAGCGGGGACAGGGCTGTCTCTGGACTCCAGCTGTGTGTCTGAGGAGTGCTGCTGTCATCTGTGCAGGGGCCTGGGAAACTCCTCCAGGCAGGTGCACTCAGCTATGACCGAGGATGGCTCTGGAGTGGAAAGAAATAGATCAAGGGTGGTGGGAGAAGAGGTAACACCACACACACACACACGAGCACATGCGTACACAGGTGCACAGATATGCACCTCGTCCTCTGTGCTCTGACATGTCAAAGTCCTCAAAACTTCCTCCAGGCCTCCCTCAGTCTCCTTTGAACTTGAGCTGCCCCTGTGTGGGCAGTGGGCCTGGAGCAGTGACTGAATTTGACAGAACCCTGACCTTTAAGGAGACCCCAGGCTGGAGGGCAGGTGAAAACCACACAGTTGAACCAGAGAGCAAGGGCTGGGGACCCAGGGTAGCCCAGTGGCCCAACCCAGCCTGGGGACAGATGCAGGAGTCTGTGGAGGGCATCGTTGGGCAGGGTGACAGGTGAGGGCAGGTGCTAAGTGGAACACGGTCAGGAGATAGGACACTGGAGCTGGAAGGTACATGCAAAGGCCAGAGGGATTTGTGTGCATGTGTGTGTGTGTGTGTGTGTGTGTGAGAGAGACAGAGAGACAGAGAGAGAGAGAGACAAACAGAAAGCGAGAGAACCAGCTGGTGCCTTGGAGGTCAGAATTGCACCGTTACCTCACCATTCCATCCACCAGGACTGAGTGTGAAGTCAGAGCTCTTTGGCCACTCGTTCCAACAAAGCTGTCCCCATGCGGTGTTTGATGAGTGTGTCGTGGGTGTGCTGTGCACTGCAGGTGTACCGTGACTGTGCCAGGCTCTGGGTCATCCACTCCAGGGCCCAGAAACAGCTAGTGCTGTAATAGGTACCACCCCAGTCATCTTCCCCACCCCCAGCCCTTCGCTGGGACCCCACATAGACAGGGGGACTGGGAAGCCCACACTGGAGCTGCCTGCTGGTGCTCCCCTTCCACCTCCCACCAGAGGCCGTTCAGCTCATCTCACACCCAAACTTCACACACACAGGGCAGGTGTGAGCACCCAGCTCACAGAGGAGGCCACGGGCCACCAGATCCACAGATGGGGCACTCACTTGTAGCAGAAACATGAGGCATCACTACAAAGTTTCAGCCATGTGCGTGACAGTAACTATCAGAGGGACAAAGAGTCACAGAAACTATGTTTGGAAGTCCTTCAGTCCTCACCCCTCAGGCTCTGTGGGAGAAACCAATGAGAACCAAACCCTTCTGCTGCCAATGGCACAGGCGGCCCCCAGGGCCTGGTGCCTCCTTTTAGTAGCTGAGTTGGCACAGGGACAGGTCAGAGGACCATCTGTCTGCTCAGCAGATCCCCAAGAAGGGGTTCATTTTTGGTGACTGGATCCCGGAGTCCTCGTTTCTGTAGCACAGCCCACACCCGCTTCAGGAGATGCCCAGGTCCCAGCATCGAGGCATCGTGTCATCCCACAAGGGACGCATCTCCGAGGTGTGTATGAGGTCCCTGCTTCTGAGTGGGAGACAAGCAACACCCACCGCTAGAGGGCACGGGGACAGTCATGTACAAGGGCTCTTCCTCAAAGCTTTGAAAGGTGTCTCTGGGCGTCCACACCACAGGTGCCTGGGCCTGCCCCTGCCTGTCACAGTGTTCCTAGGGACAGCATTGGATAAAGCCACTCGGGCCATGACTGGTAGAGACAGAAACAAAGTCCCTCAGAGACGGGTGTGAGCACAGACCAGACAGGACCATGGTTCATACCCACCCCGACCACTCCTGTCCTGACCAAGAGGAGGGAGGCTGCTTGTCCATCCTGTCATCATCTCTCCTCCTGGGTTCGAGTGACGGAGATGCCCCATCATGGGTGACCTGCCTCCTGACAGCCCAGCCCACAGCCACATCACTTCCATCCCAGCTACGCCTGCAGCAGCCTTCTGATGCCCTGG